TCTGAATCATTTTTAACCTTAAATAACATACCTCGAGGGTCAAAATGGCATCGTAAATAACAGCAGCTTGTTAAGAGGGAGCCACGATATGACCGTTTTAATTATGTTTACCATCTAATAAATTATATTGATTCGTTAACCGGCCATTCGAATTGGAATTTGTTACGATTGTCGGTTTGTTTTCATAATTATGTTCTGGTGAAAGTGGCAAGTCCTTTAATCAATGGATCGATAACGGTAGGTATATATTGGTGGGGATGATAAGATCAGGATGAGGCCAGTCCAAACTCATTGTGGGGACATGAAGTAGTCACGATGATTAGCAGGAATGATTGCGTGGAGTTACTTAAATCCAGTCCAGTTTAATCAACTGTAATGTGGGGATTGTTAGTAATGTGGACTGATGATCCCATTGCTAGTAATGTACCATGTCAGATCGACCTCCACGCGTTTCCCTCTGGAAACCATCGTTATACATTTCCGGTGAATTTGTCACGATGGGCTAACTGATTTGACTTCATGTTCATCCTATCACCTTCCACTGGTGCCCCGCCAGCCTAAACCGTTAGCGCAGGCAGGTGCATCATTCCATTATCATCCTTCAAAAAAAGCCACAGTAATAAGTACTGGTGTCACCTAGTCTCCATTACTCGAGAAGGAGATTAATAGTGCATTTTTAGATATAGTAAAAATACTAATTAAAGACAATGTGAGCAATAATAATAATAATAATATTGCTGACGGGTACGGTCTCGGTGATCTAGCTGTTTAGCAAACTTCTTTACTTCGGATGGTAGCAGGTTCGATTCCCCGTACGTTACAAACATTTGTATTCATTAGTATAATTGTTTGTATTGTTCTTCATGTACATTATTTATGTATTTAAGAAAATGTACGTTATCTAAATATTTATATCACTTGTCTGGTTCGCATAACACAAGCTCAGTTTAGCTTGGAACTTTTCTTACTGAATGATAATGTATTGATGCACCCGCTTGCGCTAACGATTTACGCTGGCGGGGCACCAATGGAGGATGATAAGTTGAACATGAGGTCAGGTGAGCCAATCATCTTAAATTCACCATGAATTTATCACTATGTTTCGAGGGGGAACCGCGTGGAGGTCGACCTGACGTAGTACATTGGTAGCAACACAGATAACATAATATTACATAGTAGCAATAAGATGATCAATCTATGTGGATTGACTAACAATCACCTTTCCCCGAGCTTGGAACTAGTTTGTGTTAATTGTCCAGGATAATTAAAAAGCGGTATTTAACCACTTAGCTTGAGTTGAGAGTTCCATCGCTTAGTATTCTACAGAATATACAAAAAAATAAAGGTAGGTACTTCCCACGCAGGTAACTTTATGCAGTCTCCCTGTTATAGAGATAATCTGAATAACTCAAAGGAGACTGACATAGTGATCTATCAACGCACAGCCAAAAACACTGGACGGATCGGCCTGAAATTTGGCATGCAGGTAGATGTTATGACGTAGGCATCCGCTAAGAAAGGATTTTGATTAATTCTACCCCCAAGGGGATAAAATGGGGGATGAAAGTTTGTATGAAACTTTGTCAATTTTAAACTGATCGGGCTGAGACTTTGCATGCATAAAGCTACTATGACGTAGGCATCCCCTAAGAAAGGAAACAAAAGTAAAGCCGCAAAAACTATACCTAATTAATAATAATACTTCTTAACGCGAGCGAAGCCGCGGGCAAAAGCTAGTACTTTTATAAACTCCTGTTGTGAGTTCACGGGCTGGCCATAATCAATTTTATTAACATACCATAGAGAACTTTTATTGACGTAAGTATATTTTAAATCCGAGAAATAGTTTTTTTTTTATTTTAATCAATATCGATTGTGTCGATTCTAATACATCGATTGACATGTGAATCCATTAATTACCTTTTTTTTATTCCATTGAATGCGGTTGAGTTCAGAGAAAGTTGGACTATTGTATAATTTGAAGCATTATTTGTCAGCGAATTAGATGTTTATTTAATTAATTTTGATTACTTGAAACTTGGCAATGGCGGCATGATTTGTATAGATATTTTGATTGTTACGTTTTAAAATGACCGTTCGTCTAGCGTTTGATCTGATGATCGAGGGTTCGATTCCTCGTACGGTGCTAACATTGATATGTTGTTATGTGTTTTCTACGAATGAAAATATTTATATATTTGCGTCAGTCATATAGTACTCATAATACAAGTTGATTAACTTGCGACTAGATGGAGCTGTGTGGATTGTCAAATGTTATAATTATTATTATATAGACATAAAAATGAATCGTTAAATCGTTGGTTCGAGTATAGATTAGCTACTATTAGACTAATTTTAATATTAGGATTCTGCACTCCTCTATATCTTATTAATATTTATCTATTATAAACGCAAAAGCTTGTGAGCATGAATGGATGTTCATTACTCTTTCGTGCAAAAACTACTGAACAGATTTTGATGAAACTTTACATTAATATAGCTTATATATCGTAATAATACATGAGCTATAATTTAAAAAGTTATTATGTGAATTGTGCGAAATAAGTCAAGTTAGTGTAAGAGCATACGAAGCTGCACGGGTCAGCTAGTAAACTATAAGGTGCTATAAGTGTGCGAAAACTATTCCGTCCACGTAATTTTCTTCAAGTATTAATATAATGATTATATAATTCATATATAATCATAAAACAGTAAGCGGACTTGAATATGTTTAAGATCAGAATAAATAGCAACAACGTTGTTCTCTCTCTTGATGATGGAATGTCAGTCATAGCTATAAAAATGTTATGACTTCAAATTGCGTTTACTATAATTTAGAGCTATTAAATTTGGGAGCACCTAACATGAATATGTCCCATAAGAATGCGTACAGATAGGAGCAGCTTTTCTTGGGTTAAATTAAAGGTGATACTATTAATTAAAGATACAACAGAGAGGCTGGCGACGCACCGGGAGGGAACTAATTATTTATTTATTTATTTATTTATTTATTTATTTATTTATTTATTTATTTATTTATTTATTTATTTATTTATTTATTTATTTATTTATTTACATCGTACTAAGTGAGCTTAACAGTCTCCCAATATGCCCACTCAGGAAGATAATATACAAATACAATAATAATTGAAAGTCCAACGTTTGAACACTAATATAAAACAACTTTTTATATCTTTTTATACCCCGGCTTCGCACGGATGTACATTTGTTATTCGTACATATAAACGTTTCTCTTAAACTTGAAATTCTATGTATTCCTAAAAAGGAGCATTAAAATCAGACAGCAGAAGCGACCTCATTATATAAAGATAGAAAAATTACAGAATTTCATAAAGAACCTTTATGATAATATGAAATTGTTCTAATAAGGAAGAGCTTCTTAATGGACAAGATTAAAATCTTCATTTTAATATCCCACTAGTAGGCAGTATTAATAATCAGATTGTTGAATATATAGGTAGTAAATATGTACCTATATTGCATTAAAAGTTTGATTATAGGTTATTAAAAGGTATTAAAAATATGAAATTAATCAATTATCAATTAAGAATGCAATAAAACTGTAAGTCTGTAGAAGAAGTCTTGAGATAACCTTTAATTTTGGTATACTGCCTACCAGCGTATACCAAAATAAAGATTATTATTACCAGTAGAGTTTTATAGGACAAATCCACGTGCTCAGTTGGATGTCAAGCAATCTCAATGAAAACAATCTTTTGAGATTCCATGGAAATCGATCAGACATGGCACATTGTCAGAAATTGTATCCTCCTAATAACAATTCCCTCCTTTCTATGTGAGCTATGATGTCACAGCAAACATACAGATTACACATTAAGATTATGTGTTATGTATTGATGTTGTTAAATGTTGAGAATTAAAATGTATGTATGTACATTTACGTGTATTCTATGTACTCAGTGTACCTCAAGGATTAGGCCCGATGATGTTCAATGCGCTGCCGACGCATGCGCAAGCAATGACAGTTCGTGTTTCGTTTCCCGCCAACGCGCGCGTCATCCAGTGATTGTTGATTGTTTTATTTTTAAAACGAGAATTGGTGACATTGATATTCTGTGGACTAGTGTTGAGACAAATGTTTTTAATTTATTTAATTAGTCAAAGGCGTGAAAATAAAAGTTTTTAACTAACCATTATTAATGTTTAACTAATAGGGTAAAATTTACAAATTTAAATATATTCCAAAATTGAGCCCATACTCAATATTATATTAGGACATTTTTGCATACTTTTAATTACGTTAATAATTTTTAATTATTTTTTAAAAATAAAAGTTAACAATTAAGTCATTAGGAGCTTCCTGTTGTAGTGAGATTGCGTCAAAAATGTTCTCAATGAACTGTCTTAAAAATAAAAGAACAAGGAGTAGCTTATTTCCGCTCCCTCTAAAATCAGGCACCGTGGAGAAACGATACGAAAGTATTTACCTATCTAGAAATTGCATCTTTGTTCATACAATTATCTTTACTTAAATCAAGTTACTTACTTTAAACCAAGTTTAATGTATTTAATATACTTCTACGATCTAATCAAAGAATAATTCTTATTTTATTTAATTAAAGTTATCTACTTTAAAAATACTTGTATTTTTAACGGATGTTAATGGAACTGTGCACCCGTCTACGCTAATGGTTTACGCTGGCGGGGCACCAGTGGAGGATGAACATGAGGAGGTATAAGATGAACATGAGGTTAGGTCAGTTAGCCCATCGTGGTAATTTCACCAACAATTTATCATGATGACTTCCATGGTGAACCGCGTGGAGGTGAAACTGTCATGGTACATTAATAGCTATGGGGTTATCAGTCCACATTATCTTGAATTGATTGTTAACCATTTGATAATTGATTTCAGTCTCATGTTCCTCTTCTTCAAGTATTATATATTATTATTCTTAGTACTGTTAGAGGCTGAACATCCATTCCATTATCAACATTTCAAAAACTTTTGTAAAATTTCCTTAGCCTTACTTTCTTTTAATCTGAATTAATAAAAATGGTTAAGTGCATAATATATATATTGATAATAATATTGGTGAAAAACATTAATTGTGATGAAGAGTTTACCAGTATACCAGTTACAGTGAAGACTTACGAAAATGATACAGTTTTGCTGCCTTGTTATTTACATGACACAGGTAAAGTTATATTTTCAAAAAGAGCGGGAAACTGCTTTTGTCGCAGAGTAATTAACATTATTTTTAACGTAATTACTATATCTTTACATATTATATTATATATGGAACAAGTCAGGGGCTCCCAAAAATATGATCGAGCATAGTGATGGCTGGCTCATTCATCATACTCGTGAACGAATGCTGCTTATAGGACCTTGTTTGCTCTAATCACTACGACTGATTTAAGCTTATTGTGTATTTAATATTTTAACCCGAATAAATTAGTGCTGGTTGGATGTTTGTATTCACACATTTCCAGTTAAAAATGTAAACTTACAAGGATTATTTAAAAGGGCAACACGCACGTTTCTTGCTCGTTCTTCTTGTGATGAGACAGCTTTTCGAATTCGAAAAGCTGTCTCATCACAAGTAATTTTTTAATATGGTAATTTTTTCGGTAGATTAAAAAAAATAACTATTACTATCCAAAAGTGCTTAAATGAAGTTTATATGAATAATTAGGATAGAATAGGATTTTCTATTATATTCTATTAAACAAAGCATCGCCGCTGTTTGTGCGCTTATATCTTATAAAGTACGTAACGGATTTTAACGCAGACAGCAATAGATAGAGTGATTCAAGTGAAATTTATATGTATAATACATGGGTTTTATAGTATAGAATAAGCAAAGAAATTCAATGATTTGTAATGCATCCGTGCGAAGCCGGGCCGGGTAACTAGTATTATATAAAGGAAAACCTTTGCTCGGTTCCATAATGTGGGCGGATTGCTTTTTTGCCTTTGTTACTGTTTTCCTATAAGTGATGTACTCTTCAAACCGAAATAATTTACGAAGCAAGCTTCTTAACAGCAGAAATAGTAATAGAAGCACCCACGTAGATCACTTTGTAGTCTGCAGGTACAGTAAGGTTCAGTGGTCATTAGGCTAAGGGCTCATTAAAATATTCGATCTTAATCTGACATTGCCCATCAATCGTCCAGACGGACGGACAAACAAACTACTTACAAAATAAACCTTTTATTTCACTACATCGCATTTGCATAATAATCGACGCATCCATGCACCTGGTTCGTTTTTGGTAATCGATTTTGAGTCGTATTTGTATTAGTTAAGGTTCATTTTACGTTTTTGTTTGGGAGTTTTATATTGCCTATAATTCGTGACTTTGAATTAATATTAAGTGTGGCATTATAGTCTATAAGGGAGATTAATACAGATTGAACAGTTTTGGGAATGGGAGAGAAATCTGAATATCTAAGGGGCGCTGATAGAAGGATGAAGGATCACCGTTGGAAAGTATACACTCCATTATAGTATCCATTATAGTATTAAAAGTATATACTCCAGTATAGATCATCCATCGTCCATCTGTTGATGGACGATGGATGATCGAAATTACGTCGGCCTGAGCCGAGGTTCGAACCTCTAGCGGTGCTCTCAGCGTAAAGTCAAATCCGTCAGACTAGAGTTAGCCTTCAGCCGCTCCATAAGTCCTTCCATTTTGGAGTCCCATCTGCACTCGCCCCCTAACGTCTGTTGAAGTTGTGGAGACCATTTGCGGCCAACAGCAGAATAGTCCTAAAAAAACTCTATACTGAGGAGATAAATAAAATAAATCGCTGCAAGCTGAAGAAGAAACGCTACTACTCATCGTATGTGGTTGTAGGTCACTCATGCAAAAACGAAATATTTCCTTTAGAAAGTATACACTCTATCCTGAGGAGATAAAAACCATCGCTCCTAAGAATATCCTTCAAATTTTGTCCCTTACGGGTCTAGACAGCGAACTTTGAAAAGGATGAGCACAATTATAGATCTATGTAGTTCGCAATGCTACAGATCTTAACACGTGACTATAGCCCATAATCCTCAATAAAAAAAACATACTGTTTTATACAAATACAGCATTAAAGTAGTCCGAAATAAAATGATTATGTTCATTTTATTTCGGACTACTCTAATGCTGTTGGTCGCAACTGGCCTTTGCTTCACCAGACGATAGGGGGCGAGTGCAGATGGCACTCCAAACCAAAGGAAGGACTCATGGAGCGATTTAACACCAACTCCTGCCTGATGGATACGACTTTAGTCTGAGAGCACCTTAGGGGTTCGAACCTCGGCTCATACCGTCGTAATTTCGATCCCCGTTTGAATTGGACTGGCGATCGATCGAAGAGGAAACACATAATTTACACATTCTGATAATACAACCTTAATAACTTTTAAACTTAAAATTTAAACCAACTATAGCTTTTCGACTATAGGGCGACCACGAGTTACATACCTACTATTAATACATGAATTCTCAATTGCTGTTCAAGTGTATAACATAGACATTATATAATTAACTTAATCATATTTAACTTAGCTCCCACGCTTGTTTTTAAGTTACAACTTAATCTTGCAACTTTGAAATGGTCCACTCACGGTACTACTGCAAATTACATAAGGTTTTATACACTTTAAATTACTTAATGTTACAGATGAAATTTTTTTTTAGTTTATAATTAACATATAACTATAATTGACTAGGTATAAATTTAATAAACTTGTTATATGGTTGAGTGCAATGATGGCTGGCTCATCCGTCATACTAGTGAACGGGTGTCTTTGTCTGTTTGAGTTACGCACACTGATTAGGCTATTTCCTTTTAACATAATTGCTATAGCATATGCTGGTGATCAGTCTATTCTCCCAAATTTGAATTTAAAAATGAATCTGTATTATTGTAAACATGTACAACCATATTTGAAAAGAATACGAGCTCAGTTTCTTGTCAGTTCTTCTTATATCGATATCATTCCGAACTGCCGGTATATTTGGGATAAAGATATTATGATTAATCATATCATAAGGGGATAAAGATATTATGATTTTACTTGATTGGTTAACACTATTAGTCAGAACATTGCGAGTGGCCAATATAAAGGATTGGAATCAACTGCAATTGTTTTATTTACATATTAAATACTTTTATCATTATATTAATACACATATATATCAGTACAAACTTTGTACCCCTTTTTGCGAAAATTGGGCGAACAGAGTAGTATGAAATATTTTTTTAATATTATTAATTAATGCACTGGGATCACTATTTGTAAATACATTATGAATCTTATATAAAAAATAAGTCTATTAGTTTTCTGACATCTATGGTATAAGTTGGTAATTATGGACTAGATTGCTTTGTGAATTAATATTATTAAGATGTAAATCAATTATTGTCGGTACGTGAGTAGTCAGCTTTAAAGTAAAGTGTGTGTTTGATAAATTGCTGCTCGGTTTGTGAGCCTATGAATGATTGCTTTTTGTACCCCATATGTACAGCTGTAAATAATCATTATATTGTGGTTACGGGTTCGATCCCCGGATAGTATAAACATTTTAATTAGGACCTAAATCTATTAATATACATATATCGTATACGTATTTTATTGCACAGATTATAATTTAGAGACAATGTAAACAAAGGTGGAGTTATCACTAGAAGAGATCTCTTCCAGTCAACCCAAAACAGTGGCATAGGTGGTACTGAGTGAGCAATAACTGGTGCAAAATTAAAATAATAAAAAAATACTCAATTTCTAAAGCCGATTTTATTTAAACTACTATGGTGGCAAACAAGCATACGGCCGATCTGATGGTTAATGGTTACTGTAGCCTATAGACGCCAGAAACACCAAAGGTGTTATGTGCGCGTTGCCGACCCTTAAGAAGACCTCGCCAGGTAGTTCCACAATCTTCGTGTACGTGGGAGGAAGCTCCTCTGAAACTGCACTGTCCGAGACCACTTACGTTCTAGCGTGTGGGGATGAATTCCCTGTCGATGGCGAGCGGTGCGATGGTAAAAGGTTGATAGATAGATAATTGATTTATTGCCAACATAACACAAATTACAATAAGACACAAAATAAGAAAAAAAAATAACATAGAAAGTTGGCAATAGGAGCTGTTGCTGATATAAGTACAACCTCAGTGAGGTGCATCTATACAGAGTTGGTTTTCAGGCAGCCCCCATTACTCATAAAAAAAAACTAAATAGCGGGTTTTTTAACTAAGCGGTAAACGATTAAAAAGCGAATAAAATATTTCGTTGCATTCACAATGGTATGAGTAATAATTAAACATAACATAATCAAAAACTTTTGTGTTTGACACGTTCAGCCGCACACACACACAATAGCGTCAGACCCATAGTCCCAAACCAGACGATTATATCGAAATATTTCAACAGATGCACGAATATAGTACAATGGATGCGCAATTGAATCCACTTTATCGATTTAAACTTACGATACATAATTTTGTTCTATGTATATTATAGGAAGTACCATTGGAAACAATTTTTTTTACAATTGCAATTTACATTGACTCTTGCTAATTACAGCTTAAAATTCTTACCTGCCATTTGTAACGTTTAATACGGTGTTAGTGGTAATATATAATTTAAGAAATAAAATGAAGCTGAAATTTGGCATGCAGGTAGATATTATGAAGGCATCCGCTAAGAAATACTTTTGATTAATCCGCACCCCCAAGGGGATAAAATAGGGGATGAAAGTTTGTATAGATATTCTTAGATTTTCGACTGATTGAACTGAAATTAAAGATTGCAGCTACTATGATGAAGACGTTCGCTTAAATAGGATTGTGATAAATTCAACCCCCATAGGGATTAAATAAGGGATGATGCAGAATGTAAATGTATTAGTTTGAACCTATCAGTACCTAATGGAACGAATAAATTAAGACGAACAAAATAATTTTTAGTTCTTTAGACTACTTTTATTTTAGAAAAATAAAGGTAAATTCCACACGGGCGAAGTCGCGGGTACAGCTAGTTGTTGATATATATGTCCTGTTTTTATATAAATACCACATCCACTTACAAATATAGCTCACTTGGGTATCATGTATGAATATACAATATCCATACAGTCATCAGTTTATTGAATGCTTGTTAGAGACAGGATGGCGGCCAGATTTATATCTTTGTACCACAATTGTAGGGGTCTATTCATGTGCACGGGTCTTGGTTCACACTTAACAATGTAGTTACAGTTGTTACATATATAACCATGTTATTTGGTGACAAAATGAAGTACTTTTTGCAAAAATATTTGTTTAAAAGAGTAATAATAATAATAATAATATCAAACAATTCACACAACGCCATCTAGACACAAGTTAAACTTGTGTTATGGGTACTAGATTACTGATACAAATACATAGTATTTTTTTTCGTAAAAACATACATATTATGCATAGTAAAGCGGTGTGCTAGACCGCTAGACCACCGGTGGAGTCGCTAAAGTCGACCAAGAGTATCTTGACAATTCAAAAATTCATAATTCAAAATATCTTTACTCATGTAGGTCTTACAGACTCTTATGATATGTCAAATTTATCATCAGTTCGGAGTTCGGAATGATTTCGAGATGAGAAGAACTGACAAGAAACTCATCTCGTGTTCTTTTCAAATAAATGTTGTACATGTTTACAATAAACAGATTCATTTATATTCAAATTTGGGAGAATAGAGTGACCACCAGCATATGCTATTGCAAAAGCAAATAGTCTAATCAGTGTTCGTAACAAGAACAGACCAGACCCCCAAACACTGATCATGTTTCATCACTAAAATTCTTTTTTCTCTTTTCCAGAATACAAATACCGTGTGCGTTGGTATAAAGACGAGACCCTGATAGGAGACAGCCAGGACGCTCATCTGCTTCTCCCGCCAAGAGTGAGGATGCACGCAAACTTCAGTCTGCAGATCGACAATCTAATATCTCAGGATACAGCAGACTATACTTGCGAGGTACGTGTACATTATGTCTTTGACTTAAATAATAATAAATAACCCTGGATAATTAACACAGCGCCATCTACTCCCACGGCAAGTATAGCTTGTGTTATGGGTACTAGACAACTGATATAAATACTTAGATATTTGTAAATATATACAGAATATACATAGAAACCCTCAGACCGATACAAACAATCATACTCATGAATACAAGTAATTACACCGTGCAATCGAACCCGCGACCATCGGAACTAAAGCGGACATCTACTACTACACCATTATACAGACCGCTGCCAAGCTGTCGAAAGACCCAATAAGTAAGAAGAAAACACTGACGCTGGAAGAGATTTCCACTCCTTAGCTGCTCGCTTAAGAAAGATTATGCAAATCGCTAGGTGCGAGCAGCAGGGAGCTGGAGTCGCTCTCTATATCTTATTGGACGATGGTTGAACGGTGCTGGAAGAATAAGATTATGAAGTTCCTGTACACACCAAAATTGTTAGTCATCATGCTTAGTCAACATCAGCCAATTTACTATGTCTTCTGAGTCAATCATTGGAGATCATATGTTTAAGAATGACTCCATCAAGTATTTTTTCTAGTGCCCTTTTAGAGAGTACAGTTAACACTCAATAGCTAGTATATGAATCCTTACTAATATTCCACGCGCACGAAGACTCGAGCACAGCTAGTCTATACATATAAATAAAATTGGAATGTCTGTTTGTAATATTGAAATAACCCTTTTTTAATACATGTATATGAATATAAATACGGTACATACAACAGAATATCATTTTTTCCAATTTTTGTATGTCTGTCTGTTTGTTTCGGTTAATCTCTGAAATGGCTGGACCGATTTTGATATGACTTTTTTTGGCAGGTAGCTGATGTAATAAGGAGTAACTTGGGCTACTTTTATTTTAGAAAAATTCTCTAATTAACTTTTTGTTAAATTCCACGCGGACAAAGTCGCGGGAACAGCTATTATTAAATAAACGGGAATGATCAAGCAACAGACAACTGACGCCTCTAACTTGATCATTGCGAAACATCAGTATCTATAACAGGGCAAGATGTTAGTGAGTAGTAATTAGTTAACTGTTTGAAAACACATTACGCCCTTCGATGTTAACTTGCGTTTAATTTGTAGGTAGTGATTGCAACACTGTAAAAAATCGTTTATCGATGTTCTCTATTTAATGTATCGTAATTTGTTGGTACGATAATGGAGTGGGCAGATGTTTGTTCTGGTGAGGCATCATTTGATGATGATATCATAAGCATTAGATATTAGTTGGTCCATCGTAGAAAAGCCTGTCAAGAAAATTCTGGAAATAACCACAATGGTTCCCAGTGGCGTTCTCGCGGAATGGAACCTGACTGCTAGTAATAGAGCCATACATTTATCAACATGGTTTCCAGGGGGAATCGCGTAGAGGTCAACCTGACATAGTACTTCACTAACTATAGGATAATTAAGGCCAGTAAGACTAAACTAAAAATTGCCTTCTAAGCACTACGTAAACCACCTTACCTTACCTTTTATTTTACTATTGTTACTTACTATATAATATAAATATTATACATTTTGTCAGTTCACTTTCATCTGCAATCGTCTCAACCGAGAACATCGTATTATTATCCTGCAAAATACACCAAACGTGTGCCCGCGATTTCACCTGTATAAAATTTATAGCATATATGTTATTCTGGTGTACCATATAAGCTATATTAAAATCCGTTCAGTAGTTTTTGCGTGAAAGAGTAACAGATATCCATCTATAATCATAAGCCACACAACCACATTGTGGAATCACCTTCCAGCAATGGTATTTCCGAACCGATACGATATTGAAACCTTCAAGAAAAGAGGCCGGCAACGTACTTGCAATTCCCCTGGTGCTCATGGGCGGCGGTAATCACTTACCATCAGGTGAGCCGCATGCTCGTTTGTCCCCTGTGTTATAAAAAAAAAGCTTTCACATTTATAATATTAGTAACATGTTTATTTCAAAACAAAAATAATAATTTTCTCTTCAGAAAAACTATCTCACTCGTACGGGAAAGAAATTTATCGATTTAACGACATTTCAAGTAATAAAAAATATTATTAAAGTGTCAATTTTATCGATATATGTATGTCGCAACACTATTCGAACACCCAGTTTAATGTCTCGAGCTCGGCCAATTATGCAATTAATCAATCTAACAAAACTCTTTTGAGGCGGACTGTTTTTGTGTTTTTGTCTATATTCTTTTGTCTGTGGCGACCAGCGATCTGTCTGCAATTACATGGGGCGTTGTATACAAAACTAGTTCTATTTATGGTTATTGGATAATTAGATACTTGGAACGTGTTATTGTTTATGGTACACACGAGTAGCGTAGAATATTATCTATGTATATCTATAGAAATAAATAAAATTGAACTGTCTGTTTGTAATTTGAAATTAACAGCTTTTCACTAAATGCATACGAAAGTATATTTATTTGTTATTTACTAGATGTGCTCGCGATTTCACCCGTATGAAATATATAGGGAATATGTTATTCTGATGTATAGGCTATATTACTGTAATGTTTCATCAAAATCCGTTCAGTAGTTTTTGAGTGAAAGAGTAACAAACATCTGTCCATACTCACAAAATTTCGCGTTTATTACAGAGACCTAAGATATGAAATCTATCGTCAGCCCGGAGTGCTTTCGAGTTAAGAACTGACAAGAAACTCAGCTCTTATTCTTTTCAAATGACCTTCTATATGAATTCAAAAACATAAATTCATTTTTATTAATGTTTATGTATAAAAATTACGTGTCACGTTGTTTGTCCGCGATGGACTTCTAAACTACTGAACCGATTGCAAATTTGAAATGCACATTGTGTGCAATTTGATACAACTTGAAAGATAGGATAGCTTACATCTCAATTTATAGTCGCTATATTATTCTACATATTCAAGAACCTTAGCCACAGCAACGCGTGGCCGGGTCTGCTAGTATATATATATATAAAAGACAACGTTGTCGGTATCTTGTCTGTGTATAAATTATAATTTGTAACAAGCGGATGAGTTAATTTAGTGGCGATTAGGACCATTGGGATGTAATTACCACCCCGCTTGACTTAAACAGTCATTAGGGAGAATAATACAGTTATGTGCTGTTAGCTATGACGGCCTCAGTGGTGTAGCGGTTTAGCAGACATTGCTTTCCGATAGTCGCAAGTTCGATTCCTTTAACAGTACGAACATTTGTATTCATGAGTATGATTGTTTGTATTGGTCTGGGTGTTTTGTATGTCTCTTATGTATGTATTTAGAAAAAAATATATCTATGTATTTGTATTAATTGTCTAGTACACATAATACAAGTTTTACTTAGCTTGGGACTAGATGGCGCTGTGTGAAGCGTCCAGGAATATTATTCTTTTTTTCAGCAAAACAGGCACTACTGAGGACGTTCCATACCAAGTCTCTCGTTTTCTTATTTTACATTATAATTTTTATATTTATTCCGTTGTGACACTTAGGAACCGACTATTGCACATGTATCTAAGATTATTATTATATTATATTACTAGCTGTCCAGGCAAACGTTGTTTTGCCTTAAATTAAAAAAAAAATTTAGGGGTAGACTACCCCTAACATTTAGGGGGATGAAAAATAGATGTTGGCCGATTCTCAGACCTACTCAATACGCTCACAAAATTTCATGAGAATCGGTCCAGCCGTTTCGGAGGAGTATGGGAACGAAAACTGTGACACGAGAATTTTATATATAAGATATTATATTAGGTATAATTAAGTACTTACTAGTCCAGTAATATAGGGTGGTCCATGAAACAAGTTTTCTGTGACCATTGCCAGTGTGTTGAGGCCTATTAGAAATTATATCTATACATAATAGCAGTGTATATAAGAACTAAACAATTTCCTGGTTTTTTAAGAATACATTTCTCGTTCAAAAAGTAAGTTAGGAAATTTGTACGTCTTGTGATCATAGATTACTCTATCTTTAGATTGCTGCGCATGCAAATATGACAATTGGATTAAGAGGGAATATGAAAAGAAAATATGGTATCTACTGTAGATATAAATAAAAATATGATAGTGACCCGTAGTAGCACAGAGTAGCGTAGGAGAGAACCCGATTTTATCGCGGTAGTAGTCTTGTAAAAGATGTTTTCGATCCCCTAACGCAGTAGACGTATTAAGGAACAATATATATAGAGATACTATATAATTACATACTTACCTTCTTCATGTTTTCAAGTTTGTTCTGCAGGTTATCCGCCCAGAACCATGGGGACCAATTCGACAAACGCACGCCATAGAAGTTCAATGTAAGTTTTAGATATTTATTGTTTGTCTATTTGTCTTAACATTAATTCATTAAACATAATTATTTAGTTACAAGTAATTGTGAAAAGTCTGTTAATTTGTTTGTTACGCTTTTACGCCACGTCACGTCTTATTTAATATACCTTTACTTCCGACGGTCGCGGGTTCGATTCCTCGCACGACACATTTGTATTCATGAGCACAACTGTTTGTATTTGTCTGGGTACTTTCTATGTATATTATATGTATTTAAGAAAATGTATTGAAGTATTTCTATCAGTTGTACCCATAAGAGGAACTCTGCTTAGTTTAGTACTAGATGGCGTTGTGTGTATTATTATTTGGCTCTGGCGTTTTAAAGTTTTAAAGATTCAAATATCTAGTTCATTATTAGAGAGTTTTAGAAAACTTAAAGACTGTACAAATAGAAACTTACAGATTTTACAAATGCCGCCTGCACAAAGTCAGTAATTCATCAGAACTGTTCCAGACAGAGAGAATTCAAATCTTATATTAAACAATTTTTGTGTAAGAAAGCCTATTACAGGATAGACGAATTCATAGACGACAACATATCAAGTAAATAACTAGTTTATTAGCATACAACGTTATAATTTAATTTTCTGATTGCTTTCTTGATTTAATTGATTGATTTTAGAAATATGAAAGCGTAGCGGTTTTTGTATTGATTGCCATTCTTATGTAAAATGTGAATACTATAACTATCAGATAGCAATTGAAATAGTGTCTAGTGTTTTGAGAGTCATGACTAAAATATCCAGACTTGTGGCGGCGTGGTGGGCCGGGTCATTGGGCAAAATATGGTCGAGCGCAGTGATGGCTTCATACTCGTGAACGGGTGCTGCTAAAATCACTATGACTGATTTCCTCTTATTAATTGTTTAACCAGTTGGTTATATATTTAATATTTTTTCTATTTGAGTATTTAATAGAATTAGTGCTAATTGGTGGTTTGTATTCACACACTTAAACTTAAAAATGTAAAGTAATAATAAAATTATTTAAAAGAGCAACACGCAAGTTTCTTGCTCGTTCTTCTTGTGATGAGACAGCTTTCCGAACGAGCGGTAAATTAAAAAATGTAATGACTATTCAAAAGTGCTTCAATGTAAGTTTATTTGAATAAATGATTTTCTATTCTATTCTATTCCTAGTTATTATTATTACTATTCCTACAGATTCACCAACCATCAGAACTGTTCCAGAAGATGGATTTCTAGAAGTGCGCAAGGGGGAGTATGTGGATATAGGATGTGAAGCCACAGGTACACCACATCCGATAGTGAGCTGGAGGAAAAATGTGAGTAGCACCAATTATGCTTTTCCTGATTTAAAAACTGTGCCATTGACTATTCAGGTGGACCTACCTCTCTGAGAGTTTACCTCTGTCTCACCCATTCCATCTGACATGCAGCTTTGATTGGGTTAGAATAATGAGATAGGATAGTAACTTTACTTGTTATGAACGCATAAGACTTTAGTCCTCAGGAACACGTGATGGAACACATGAGGGGTAATCGTTATACTTCTGTCAGCTCGTGACCGCATTCTTTTTTTTATTTTTTGGAAAAGTCTTTTAAAGATTTTTCCAGAAAATAAATAATAGATCACCGGTCTGGTGGCGAGAAGATATGTGGAATCCTTATCCACAAAAAACTACATGGTGTATCTCAGAGCGTCACTGATTGATTATACCAGGATTTCGGCAGCGCTGGCCCGCTCTCTAGATGGTGTAGGCCTGGCCTCATCTCGTTGTTAGGACGACCTATTTTGTCCTACTTAAACATGGAAACGCGTGGGTATACGCCTCCGGGGCCTTTTCGTTGTGGCACAGCCTCCATCAAGATGAGCACATCGGCCCCAGTGGGTTATAGAGGTGGGGAGGAGTAGGGTACTCCCCCGCCTTCTTCTGCGCCGGATTAGTAGAGCGGAAAGATCAGACTCCCGCTCCCTCGCTGCCTCCTACCACAAGATTACTTCCTGACCTTGTGACCATATCTTTTTTCTATCGTGTAGAAAAATCTTTAAAAGACCGTCCCTCTGCACTGAGAGATGACAGACGAAATGTGTGTGAAATTCTTATTCACTAAAACCACATGGTGTACCTACAACCACCATCGCCAAAGTTGCAAGGACGCGTTAGCTTTCTGCCTCGACTTCGGCGGTATGGCCCAACATGTAGAAGATCAAACCCCATCTCGTTGTTAGGGCGACCTATTTCGCTCAACTCAAGCTTGTGCAACCTATTCGAAACGTCAAGAGAGGTTTCTTTATCTTTCTTTATCTTCGTATTACGACCCGAATAACTAAATTTCTAATTTGCAGGGTGAAGCGATGGCATTGTTAGACCACCGTCCCCGTATCAAGTTCAGGGCAGAACACCGCCTATTAGCTGGCGTATACGAGTGTGTAGCCATCAATGGTGTTGGGGATCCCGTGGTGGCTGCTATAAGAGTTGTTATACATGGTAAGTTGTGTTACCAATCATTATCATCCTCAGTATATCGTAAAAGGTTAACTAGGAATTTTTACCTAAATTTTCCAACTAAAGTCGCGTGAAGGACCTAAGGCTGTGAAAGTCCTTCGGAATGGCAATACCTAACATTTATCACGGGTATGCCTATTAGGGGCTTCGTGGATCTATAATTTTGTATTGATACTTAACAGATGCTCCCGTGGTATCTGCGGAACGCAGCTTCGTCCACACCGCAATAGGGCTGCGGGCGGCGTTAGCTGCGAAACTTGAGTTCTCTGTGCCACCTGCACGCACCTCGTGGTACAGAGACGGGAGACCAGTGAAGACTGATGACAGGTAAGCTGCTATGACTGCATAGGGTGTCTAGAGCAGTGTTTCCCAACCTTTGTGCCTATACCCCATCGTAGCCTTTCTAAAATTCTTAAGCCCTATAATATAAATACAATATAGATATGTATGTTACATATAAATTTGATGGCCTTGGTCGTCTAGCAGTTTAGCACACTGCCTTACTTCCAATGGTCACGGGTTCGATTCTTTACACGGCACAAACATTTGTATTCATGAATATGATTGTTTGTATCAGTCTGGGTTATGTTGTTAGTGTACAATAATTTGAGGTAGACATTATGTAACCCTTAGATTTATTTCAATTATGCCCACGGTGATCATCCGGTCCCAACGTGGTTTACTTTCGTTGCGGAGTGACCCACTGGTGGGTATCCGGTCTTTAACGTGTTAATAGAGTATTTACTACGTCACAGGGTAGTGATAATGGTCCAAGACAACACCCACCAGCTGATCTTCCGCACAGTGAGGAAGTCAGACCTTGGCAATTACACGTTCAGAGCAGAGAACAAACTGGGCATGGCCGACGTGTCGTTCAAATTGACTGGTATGTATGAACGAATTCAATCATATTTTTTTATTTACATACATGTATTACTTATTATTACGGCTATATATATCTAACTATACATATAATAAAATATCTTTAAAAATATACTCCTATTAATAAGTATTAATTAATTTAATTACTGGTTGCCACGAACCAGTAATTTAATTAATTAATACTTGAACTTTCTACCAGTGATAATAATTATAAAATAAATAACAATATAATAATATTGTTATTTATTTTATATATTATAGTTAGTATTTATACTAGGGTTGTTGTATATATAAATAGTATATTGTATCAAAAGGTAATTACATTAAGAGGTTTCTCTTGGACTACTCTAATGCTGTTGGCCGCAGCTGGCCTTACAACTTCATCGGACGATAGGGGGCGAGTGCAGTTGGCACTTCAAACCAAAGGAAGGACTTATAGAGCGGTTGAAGACCAACTCGGGTGACGGATACGACTTTAGTCTGAGGGCACCGGTACGGGTTTGAACCCCGGTTCATGCCGTGGTAATTTCAAACCCCGTTTGTTTGATCGGGGGGCATATAGAGGTATATGGAATAGAGTAAAATAATTAACAATGAATCGAGCAGTATTTTTTTTTATTGGTTTGTTTGGGCTATTGTCAGGTGTTTGTACCACCTGTACCACTGCGAACTACATAGATCTATTGTGCTCAAAAATCAGGCAGTAGAGCTCGGATATAGTTTGCTAGCCTAGTGTTGACAACATGGCGACCAAACTACTACCATTTTTTGCGGGAAAAGGGGATTGTTAGTAATGCAGACTGATGATGTCATTGCTGGCAGTGTACCATGTCAGGTTGACCTCCACACGGTATCCCCTAGAAACCAATTTGATAAATTATTTATTTATCACCCTCCACTGGTGCCCTGCCAGCGTAAGCCGTTAGCGCAGACTGGTGTACCATTCCATTATCATCCATAAAAACCTCCATTCATTTTTTATTAATGTTCAGGGGTACCAAACGTGGCTTCATTTAAAGTAGAGCAGACTTTGAACAAAGCGACCGCTACGAGTTTCACGTTAATATGGGAGGTGGATTCCTACTCTACGATTATAGGTAAATACATATAAATGTACTATTGCGAATATAATTCTAGATATGGCAGTCAGAGCCGTTATCTACAGTGGACATCGCAAAAATAATTTTTTTTTCAAATAAAGTTTATATAAATATGCAAATGTATTTATTTGGTTATTATTATTCCCAATCGAAACTATTATATACATTTTTTTTTCTTAAAACTGACATTGACGGCCTCGGTAGAATAGCGGTTTAAACACCGTCTTACTTCCGGTGAGCGCAGGTTCGATTCCTCGCACAGTGCAAACATTTGTATCCATGATTATTATTGGTTGTATCATTCTGTGTGTTTTCTATGTATGTATGTATGTACAAAAAAAATAACTATGTATTTATATCCGTAGTCTTGTACCCATAAGACAAGCTCTGCTTAGCTTGAGACTAGATGGCTCTGTATGAATTATAGATACAAGGATATTATTATTATTATATTATATGGGGTTCGATTCCTCTCACGATACAAATATTAGAATTCATAAGTATGATTGTTTGTATTTATGTGTTTTCTATGTATATTATGTATTCAAATATTTCTGTCAGTTGTAGTGTACCTAAAACATGCCGGCGGCCCTTGTCAGATCAGCAAAAGTGTAACAAAATTAATTACTTGCATTTCACTCCTAATACTAGCGAGCGTACCAATAGTGCAACCTGTGAATTGAAAGGAGATCAAAATGTAGAACAATATTAATAAAAATTAAACTTAAGAAAAAAACTTCTATTACAAGCTTTGCTTAGCTTGAGACTAGACGGTGTCTCCTTTTTGTGAATTATCCTGAGATATTTTTATATATTTCCACATACAGAATACAACCTGTGGCTTCGTCCGTACTACGGCCGTCTTAGTACAGTCGACCCCAGTAGCTTCACAACGGAGCCCCCCGCTAACATTTGGAGCAAGATCGTGATACCGGGCGACTCCAGTGACGGACCAATACATAGCGCCATCTATACCGTTAGAGGGCTAACACCGTCAACAGTTTACGAAGCAATTGTGACCTCACGGAATAGGTAATATATAGAATAGAATAGAATAACATTTATTACATCACAACACTACAATAACGATGCTGACAGCAGCGTATATATTTGTAATATAAAATAAACGTAAATAAAAACATTGCATTAAATTAAACATGAAATCTTTATATAAAAAAATGAACAACAGAAAAACAAATAAAAAAAACAATACTAAATAATAATAATAATAAAGTAAAATAAAAAATCCAAATATCTTTATTCATATAGGTCTATTACAGACTCTTATGATATGTCAAATATAGCGTCAGTACGGAGTGCTTTCAAGCTAAGAATTGACAAGAAACTCAATCTCTCTTATTCTTTTCTAATGAACATGATTACAGAAATATCTACAGATTCAATGTATATATTACATAGTAAAGCAAAAACTTTGTACGAGGGTCGAGTTTTTAAGAATCTGCTCCGCCCAAGTTGTGACCTGTTGTGTAAACAATACACTGGTAACAAATCTAGTGTATATGTATATTACCACTTACCATCAAGTGGGCAGTCAGTTTGTTCAATATTCCAATACATAAAAAACCACAAAGATGTATCTCTGTTCGATACCTTAATCTACACATGTAAATAAAATTGGAGTGTCTGTTTGTAATATTGAAATAACCGTTTTTTACTACTTGCATATGAATATAAATACGGTACATACACCAAAATAATATTTATTATAATTTTTTCTGTTTGTTCCGGCTAATCTCTGAAATGGCTGGACCGATTTTGACGGGACTTTTTTTGGCAGGTAGCTGAGGTAATAAGGGGTAACTTAGACTACTTTTATTTTAGAAAAATTCTCTAAGTAACTTATTTGTTAAATTCCACGCGGACGAAGTCGCGTGTACAGCTAGTTAGGTATATATTTAGTTTGGTAACGGTGTTTCTATTATCAGTGCTTTAGAAATATACTCGTAAATTAACTCATAAAGTTTCCTAGTTGTTGGCCAGATTCGAACTGACAGCCTGTGGTTGTAGTAGTAATATTTTTTTATTTACAGATTCGGCTGGAGTAAACCATCCGCCATATTGCATTTTGCAACGGAAGCTGGATGTAAGTTGACGTTAAATTTTATATTATAAACTTTTTTTTATCGATTTAACGGTGATAGATTTTTGTTTCAATTAAGTAGTGCGTATTTCGCAAACCGAAATCCTGAAAGCTGGGGGAGAGGGGATTATTAGTAATAGGGACTACAGGTCCATCCAGCAATTACCATCATGTACCGACCTCCACGGGGTCCTCTCTGGAAACCATGTTTGTTAATTTAAATAAATTCATCATGATGGGCTTACTGATCTGACTTCGTTGTCATCCTATCATTGTTTGGTGCCCTACCAATTTATACCATTAAAACAAACGGGTGAATTATTATCATTAAAAAAACCGTGATATCTAAAGCCGAAATTTTATTTTAAAAAAATGATGGGTTATTAATCAATGGCCAATAACGACCTCGGTGGTCTAGTGGTTTAGCACACATTCTAACTTTCAATTGTCGCAGGTTCAATCCCTCGCATGGTAAAAACTGCTTGTATTGTTCTGGGTATTTTCTATGTGCATAATTAAAAACCGTAAATAGAATGTATTTAAGTTTCCCGAACACAAGCTCTGCTTTGCTTGTAATACATGGCGCTGTGTGGATTGCCCTGAATTCTTATGGATGATAACGAAATGGTGCCTAACGGTTTATGCTGGCGGGACACCTGTGCAGGATGTTAAGATGTACATGAGGTCAGGTCAGTTAGCATCGTGGCAATTTCACCAAGAATTTATCACGACAGTTTCTAGAAGGAACCACGTGGAGGTCAACCTGACATGGTACATTGCTAACAATAATCAGTCCACATTACTAACAATCCCCTTTCTCCGCAAAAAGTGGTAGCGAGTCGTATTTTAGTCGCCCAGCTGTCAACACTAGGCTTTCAAACTATATCCGAGCTCTATAACTACCTCTTAATGTACCCTGGCATGAATATCACAATGATTTCCAGGGAGAACCATTTGGAGGTCAATCTGACATGGTACATTACTAGCAATTTCGTTATTAGTTCATAATACCTGTCCTGAGTTATTATTATAAATAATATACCTAACATTTTGTATTACAATATCAATTAACATGTTTAACTATTTCAGACGGTAGAAAACCGGTAATATCCGATTATACGGATTTCACACCGGTTTTAGAAGACGTAGAGACGGAACCTCATAATATTTCGCAGGCACAGGTTTTCGAACACTTCAGTGAACTGTCAAACGGAAAAGCGCGGGAAAAATTGGATTCAGTAATTAAAATAATGGCGATTGTTATTTTTATTTCAAATATTAGTAGATTAAGTTTTTAGTTCATAGTTTAGTGTTATTTAATTACAATAAGGCCTTTCCATTAGTTGTTAGTCTGGTAATAGTTAACTGTAAGTATGCAATCATTTTTGACTAATTCGACGTTAATTTTACTTTATATTCACACTGAGTTGAGCTGCAAACTATGTAACAAAAACTCATCTGCGCAACTTCGTCGGCATCATACTTTTTTTTTTATTTTTATTTATTTATTAGAAACCAACAGCGTTACAATTTCATTTACATTAACGTAAGCTACTATAGGTTTCTATACCTATACTTAGGTACTTGACATTTATTCGATTGATTGATTGACGATTATATTTCGCCTAATTTTTTTTTTAATTATAACCTAACTGTTATTCTTCTGAAACTTTTGGATGAAAGTGTAAAACAAGCATCCATCCATCCATACTCACAATATTAGTGAGATTCTCTGGTTTGTACGTACCTATTTGTAATAACTAGGTTAGATATAATGGAGTTCACATGTTTAGTAACAAGTTTTTAAAAAAATATATATAAAAATATCTGTATTGGCGACAGTTAAATCTTATGAACTTTGTTTTACTAGTTGACCCGCGCAAATTCGCCTGCGTCACATTTTTCCTTTATCCTTACAGCTCCGCTGCTATTGGTCGTAGAGTGATGTTATTTAGCCTATGACACTCACAAAGAACGTGGCTTTCTGGTGCTGAAAGAATTTTCTATATCTACTATAATAGCAGGAGTAGTACCTACAGTAAATCGTTATAACATACCTGTAGCAGAGATAATTAGACTTCTTGCCTTGCAATGATGTTCCTTCCAATAGACTGTAAGTTTATGTAAATATTTATTAAATAAGTAATTTTTATTTAACATCTGTAAAGTAAATAAATGTAATTTATATCTAAGATTTGAATTTTGATTTTATTTTAAGATTCCAATTTGTAAAAACTTGTTCGCAGTTTTATTGGATTAATAGCATTCCTAATGGAATGCTAGTTAACATTACTCGACTCCTAGCGTATGATGTAACGGCAAGAAAATTTTGCTTCTGTAAAAGTAAGTATATAGTACGGCCTCGGTGGTCTAGCGCTGTAGCACACCGCCTTACTTCCGATGGTCGCAGGTTCGATTCTTCGTACTGCACAAATATTTGTATTTTAGAATATGAGTGTTTGTGTCGGTCTGGGTGTTTTCTATCTATAATATGTATGTATTTACGATCTAAAAAAAATCTATGTATCTATATATCATTTATCTAGTACCCATAACACAAGCTTTAGCTAGCTTAACTTGGCTCTAGATGGCGCTTTGTGAATTGACCTGAGAGATTATTATTATAATGTATCAGTTCATAACTGATGTCACTAATTAAAGCAGAAGAGTGACATCGTATAACTAAAATACCACAGACACAAATAAAATAAAACATATAATTTACGATTATTTATTTAATATTTCAATACATTTATCATTGTTAAACAACCATTTCAGTTTTTGGATATCTCATTCAACTTCCACTTCAACGTTTTCAACTTTGGTAAATTTGTGAATCGTCCAATATGCTTATTTAATATATATTCAAGTAGAGAGACACTAAACACTGACATTTTTATATCATTATACAATTAGATCCACTACAGTAAATTTTAAGTCTCTTTATATTTCATCATGGAACATAATAAATGGATATAATTTTAACCGACCGCATACCAAGATGTTAATATTTAAAAAACAGTAAAATACAGTTCTTAAATATATAATTAAACATTTAATACAATTACCTTATTTAATACAATATTTAAAGTTTTATGCGGAGTAACAAACTTCATTACGGTAGGAATTCAGGTAACCGGGTGTGGAGTCCCACGCTGGTCGTACCATATAGTTAATTAATTAACTGTAGCTATATTTTTTTTATTTATATACGTTCCTGCTTCTTACCAAAGTGATACGACGTATGTGAAGATCACTTTAGCAGAACAAAATATAAAATCAGTATTATATTCCCCCAAGTGAGCCCATTTTCATGAGAAAATACATAATAGGATTTTATATTTTATACATCTAATATTTCAACTTTAAATTCGCGAAGTTCATTTGTGGACGAGTGCAAGACCCCAAACGCAGATTGTGCCGTAAATTCCTGCCGTGATATTCTTATTTATAAATATACAAAAACATTTTGGTCAATTTTAGTTTTTTATTTATTTATTAAACAGAATGAGTAAAAGAATGTGAATGAATCTAAAAAAATACTGATCATTTGAAAAGACTAGACAAATTGAATATATAGTAAAGAAAATGTGACGAAATGCGTGATATACAATTATTATATTTTATATACTTAGAATCTATTCACGAATTTATGTAAAATTTACCACATGAACATTCATATAATGTTTAAAAACTTCCAACATATTAATGTTTACTATATTTAAACACTAATAATAAATATGTTGTTTAAAGTGACATTACAATTACAATAAGTTTTACATTTAATTTCTTAATAGAAGAAAATTGTCTGCAAATTAAATTAAAAACGTTTCTAAAAAAAAAATACAACTTTCACAAAAAAATGTGTAAAAAAAATACAGCTTTTTATTAAAAAAAAGAAAATGCTGACAACTAGGTAACATTACTACCCGTATTTGCAAATAATGCTAGTAAAAAAAAATTGAGTACATTAAAGTACGGAATAAAAAAAATGTAGAATACCTGTATAAAAACGCATACATAGCTTAAACCGAGGTAGAGAAACCGGTTTAGTATAGACTTGCCGCCGTCAAACAGATTGCTTTGCAAGCTGTTATCCGGTTTGAAGAGCAACAGCTGTTATTTTTACAACTGAGTTCTCAAGAATGACGAGTACCACAGCCATCACGTGATAACGTGATATCCGTGTCACTGTTCTTGTATATCGCTAACGGCTTTCCATAAGGCTAGCCGTAAGCGTAATTGCCATTCCAATTACATCCTTGTCATGGATATAAAGGCTAATAAAAATACGAAAAGCGCATACATATTTAAAGATATTAACAATGAGATATGTAAACATTTGTATATAATAATATATATATTTATTATTTGTCTACGCCAAACATATAATAGAATTTTCACAACTGCAACTATTGAGATTATATAAACAGATCTAATTACAAACAATCAATGTCAGAAGAAACGCTAAATCCCAAATGGAAGACTGAAATATTTGCATGAGAAAACAAGGGAAATATTATATTCAAACATCGTAGGTACTTTCTTATGGCACAACACACATTTCATAGACTACAGATCAGGGATGCCAACCTAAAAAAACACTTAGCTTCGTACAACAGAGTCAAAAATCTCAATTGGCTAAATTTGGCTCTTTAAACGCGTACAACATCGTATTTTGACCGATTCCTATTGGTCAAAATTAAGTACGCACTTTGTACGGGGACGAAAATGTCGCTCGTACCTGTTGGCCAAAAATCTCGTAACTGCACGAGAATTCCCATACGGTTGGCATCCCTGCTGCATATAAATCTGAACCATGGCGAATTAGCAAGCCCCTCATAGACTAGTATTCGCTAAAAACACTGAATATTTAAAAATAGTTCTTAAAGTGGCAACATTATGGCAACAGATAATAAACGTCACTTCAAATCTTGAACACTGGTAATGCGTTATCACTTCACTCAGTGCTGCCATTTGCAAATTTCACAGCATACGACGTCACCATAATAAGTGTTGCTATACTAATTGTCTCTGCAACACTTAACCATCTCGTGCACATTGTCCATAGCATTAAATGACTACTTCCAATCCACAACTCTTCGTTCTGAATGCCATAATTTCAACACTACATCCGTTACAATTTCCAAGCCCGTTAATGTTCATTTTCAACAACCTTTTGAGGAATTTTATACTTTTCATTCGGATACATATTCTTGTTTATTATTCACACTATTTAAAAACATTAATGATCATATAATTCTTACATTGTAACTATATTTATATAGTATATTACTATAGATATCGACGATTTGATGTTTAGAAGAAAACCATTTCGCTTAACCAGATTATTTTTACGTTTTTTTTGTATCTTAAAATACTTTTGCAACTATATATTTTAAAGTAACTTGTAGAAAAGGTATTGTACAACTCTCACTGTTTTATTTGACTTTGTTAAAAGTACACTTGAACCAATCGATGGTATATCATTTGTACGTATTGCTTTTTAATATTTAGGAGGTAATAGGTTCATTCTAAAAAGTCACTCTAAAACTCCATCTCTAAAATTGATATATTTTTTAGAGAAAGAGAAATAGAGGTGACAGTTTAGAGTATTATATGACCAATGCTGAAATTATTCTCTAAAATAATATACTTGAAGCGCTATTCTCCACTAACCCCAATATTTTTATCGATAGTAAAAATGTATATTCATTTATGGTTCAATGAAAATATATATTAAGACTTGCATGAACTAAAGTTAGTTCACATTGGTTTTTTTAATAACGATTTAGTTATTTTCATACCATCCCATTGTTTATGGTCGCCGTAGTATGGCATTTTCTTCCACTGATCCCTATCAAGCGTCATATCTGAGCTTACTCTCCTTTTATGGGAGTGTTAGTGCGGATGAAGAATCTTTTCTCTCGACCTTATTTCTTCTTGAACTAAGTTTATTTTACTTTGACGAAAACTGTTCGACCACAAAGATCAATTCTCCATACTCAACTATTTATTAATTTATAATAACCGTTGTATATTAAAGGAACGGTTATTATATATTATTAACAATAATGTTCACATTTACTTTACAACTTCCAGTTCTTCGTAAACTTCATCAATTTTTGTTCATTCTTTTTGTATGTCATAGAATCTTACAAGTTCATAAAAGTATGCGAATAATATCCGCAAGATCTCCTTTCATTGTACAGGTCTTAATAATGCTGAAACCACTATGTAGTTCATCACTCAAATTCATTAATTCGTATATAATTTATACGTTGTTTTTTTACATTATATTCTCCATTTTCAGTTCTCTAATTTCGCCCACAATGTATAGCGCTTTATATTCCATCTCTAAAAAAATCGTATTTAATTTATACGTTGTTTTTTGACATTATATTCTCCATTGTATACCTTCTAATTCCTCCTACAAGAAAAAGCGCTTCAATTTCAATCTCTAAAAAAATCGTATATAATTTATACGTTGTTTTTGACATTATATTCTCCAGTTCTCTAACTCCTACAAGGAATAGCGCTTCAGATTGAATGTCTAAAAATATGATTTTTAGAGATTCGTTTAGAAATTATTTCAGAATTGACCTCAGTGTGTTGTTTAGTTAGTGCGGACGGTGGGGCTGGTGAGCCTGGTGCGGTGAGTGGTGACCACCAGCGAGGCTGGCGGCGCGCGCCGCTCTGTGCCCGCAACGCAACGGCATGTAGCAACACAGGCACGGTACCAGCAGACTCAGCAGCGTGATGCCCACCCATCTACAATCAATGTTATTATTTTTAATACAGATTAATAATAACCCTGAAAAATTAATACAGCGCTGTCTAGTTCCACGGCAAGCTGAGCTTTTTTTTCTTTTCTAAATTTATTTTTGGGACTTTTGTTTTTAAACATGTCAACCCTATTATATTAAACTGATTGTAACAATTCTTAAAAACAATAAACGTAAATAAATAATTACGAACTGAGAAGGATCTATTTATTAAATTGCTTTTATCACCGCACACAATCACAGCGCAATATCAGTAGTATGCTCTGAATAGTGCCCAAATGAACTTTGTTGATATTAAAAGTTTTAATAAATAGTTTCCTCTCTGCTCGATTCCTATCACATTCCATCAACAGGTGATGGACATCTACTTTTTGAAATACAACACAATCGTGTGAATTTTCTTTTTTCATTAAATATCCATACTTACTTAATGGATAGTGACCGGATACGATTCTAAATAATAAGCACAGCTTGTGTTATGGGTACTAGACAACTGATATTAATACTTATATATTCGTATATATTTTGTAAATATATACATAGAAAACACCCAGATGATACAAACAATCATAGTCACGAATACAAATGTTTGTACCGTGCCAAGAATCGAACCCGTGACCATCACACCGCGGCGGTTTAGCATACCGCCATAAGTAAGGCGGTATGGTAAACTGCCGAGGTCGTTAAGGTTCACAATGATCATGATGGTCTACAAAGACATATATTTTTTTGTGTTTCGGGGAAACTAAACTAAAATTTCGAGACAAATATATACCGTTTAGCGCAGGCTTCGTCTGGCGGGCCACACGCGCAAGGGTGCATCGCGAAATCACCCTCAGCATCCGACATGCAGTGGTACAACATACCCTGCAAAATTACATTAACACCAATGTTAACTGGGCTATAATAATAATAAATAATATAATAATTTATGAAGTCCCTGACTTCTGTGGTAGGTATAGAAAATACCTTTGTTTCACAAGTCAGTGTCCTCTTCCATATAGTGGTGTACTTATATGTGAACTTGTAAGGATATGTTACAATTTAAATCAGTAGATTTAGTCAGTAATATAATATTGACTATGCGAAAACAATGTAAATATGTTTCTCTGTATGGCTTTCATAATAAATAAATAAATAAAGTAATAATAAATCTATTTATTGACAACATTAATTACACAGTTGCGTAGTCATTATTTCAGCCACTCAGCATTGCTTTGTAAACTAAGTTTCGGTTGTAGGGTGCAGATTAGCATCTGACAGAAATACTATTTTTTTTTAATACTAAAACAGTCAAGGTCGTTGTTAAGCGTTGATTGCGATCAACGTAGGATCTACAACACGTACCGACGTACATAGGACCGACAACGTAGGCCTTTGTTCAACAGTGGATGTATTCCTGACTGAAATGATGATGATGAAGGTAAATAAATAAATATAAATCAGGTATGATACCTGTGCGCATTTGATGCAGGTAACAGCGTCGATGCACGCACGGCAACAGTCGGGCGCGTACTCGCAAGCGCCTGCTCGGTTCGCACTCTCCAGGTACCACTCATGGCAGTGTCTGGTGACAAAACACAGCGTTTATACTAGCTGTACCCGCGACTTTGTCCGCGTGGAATTTAACTTTATTTTTCTAAAATAAAAGTAGTTAGGCTACTTTTATTTTAGAAAAATAAGTTAGTCCTTATTACGTCAGCTACCTGATAATAAAAGTCTCGTCAAAATAGGTTCAGCCATTTTAGAGATATATAGCCGGAACAAAAAGACAGACATAAAAAGTGTTTTTTGGTGTATGTACCGTATTTATGTAGTAAAAAACGGTTATTTCAATATTACATCTATTTGTAATATTGAAATAACCGTTTTTTACTAATAATATTAGTAATAAAATTACAGCGTCTATACACTGTAATTTTATTTATATATCTGTATATTAATACGCGAAGCAAAATTTTTCTACCCCCTTTTTACGAAAATTACTCGGACGGAGTAGTATGAAATTTCGCACACTTATAATTTATATAGAGAAAGAGCGCAGAATGCTAATATTTTTTTAATATTATGAATTAAAAATAGATTAAATCAATAAAAAAAATACACACTACCATACGTTTCACACCCATATACATATATCTTTTGTTTATAGTTAATGTCTGTGGTCAAATTGAGAGTACATTATGTTGTCTTTAATATTATTTGTCTATGTCTTACTGAACGTTAAATTAATTATGTATTTAAACTTTCGTGTTTAATTGTCCTAAAGATCTGTTAATCGCGACACACAGGCAATTGTGGAAACATAGAGATGTAACTACCTTTATTTACCATAAAATTATTCGTGTTAAGACCCTGTTAATAATATAAATAATTATTCAAATTTCTATACGACTGGGTGAGAAATAGTTATCACTACCATACCTGCACTTGAGCCTTGCTTGAAATGATTCCGTAGGTTTCTTTCCAGGCAGCGGTGGGGGTCCACTATACCCGTGCAGTTTCTTTATAGACCCTGTTCAGAGATGTTACATTATTACTTTTATTTTGTGCATGAAAATTCGTATCCTAGTACCTACAGGACAAACCCTATTTAGTGTAGAAATCAATGTTAATGTGTACATGTGAAACAATTTTGGTTAATAAATAAATTATTGTTGTGTTGTTATACTCCATATACAAGTCTAATCCTTACTTCTTTACTAATATTATAAATGCGAAAGTAACTCTGTCTGTCTGTCGTGTTTACACACCAAAACTGAACAGATTTAAATGAAATATGGTACACAGTTATCTCCACCCAGGGATAGGACATTTTTAATGTGAAAAATGGTTGTAAGGGGAGATGAAAGGTTGTATAGAAAAAAATTGTTATTTAAAAATATTGAATCTTCGTAATAGTGGTATGGGCATGTAATGAATAGGAATGAAGACAATATTTTAAAGAAGGTATTACATATGAGTGGGCTGATTATAAGGGCAGAGGAAGGCCGACAAAGAGATGGATGGACTGTGTGAAAGATATGGTAAGAAAGGGAGTAAATAACGAGATGACTGCGAACAGGGATGAATGTAAGAGAAAAACATATTACGACGACCACAAATAAATGGGATATGGAAGAAGCAGATGATGACTTAGGAATAGCGATACTGGCCCTATTGCTAGTAATAAGTCGTGTAAGATCGAACTGGTAATGGTCGTTCTTAGAAATAATCGTGATGAATTCACCACTGGCCTGACTTAGTCTAAAATTTTTTTTTGTCTAAATTGTTTTGGGGCACTAGATTCTTCCACTTCTGTTTCACCAGTGTGTAGGTGAATTCGCCAGAATGGACTAACTGACCAGCCTGGGTGCTCCACCATGGCTCCTTTACCATGTTCATTCAAAAAAACGTGCTTACCAGAGTCGCGTTTGAGGAGCGGCGGTTTGGTGTTAGGCGAGGACTTTTCGGAGCCAGGGACACCGCTTCCCACTTGTGGGTATGTGTAATCATGAAACTGGAATTAAAAAGAAAAAGGAAACATTAGTACTGTATTTATGTATGTATGTATTATAATTTTATTATTTTTTTATTTATTCATTACACATAAATACAATTCATATAAAATATTAGTTTAAAGTAAAATATATTTTGTTGTGTAAAATATATATTGAGTGTGTTAATTTAGTTTTGAATACTGAAATGCTTCTGATATCCTTTAAATCTACAAGCAAATTATTCTATACTTTTACACCTTGATAACGCGCACAATGGTCCATTACCTTAAAACTAGGAAACAAGTTATCACTAACATCTTCTTATATTCTCCCACATGTTTTCTACAGTTTCATTTTAAATATTTTTAGCTAGTTACTAAATAAAAGTACTGTCACTTTATAAAGCGTATATGTCCTAATTTTCTCTGTATTATAAAATATTATCAGTTATAAGGGCATGTACACACCGGCGTGAGACGGACGTACGGACACCGGTCCGGGTCGGAGTCCTCTGGTGGTTTGTCCTCGTACTGCACCTCGTATTGTTTCAGCGACTCTGTAATTCATACAAATAATATATATTTATAGAATAGAATAGAAAATCATTTATTCAAATAAACTTAATTTAAGCACTTTTGAAGAATCATAACAATTTGTTTTTTATCAACCACTCGTTCGGAAAGCTGTCTCATCATAAGAAGAACGATCAAGAAACTTGTGTGTTGCTCTTTTAAATAATCCAGAAATAATAGTTTTTTAGTACATGCATATGAATATAAATATGGTACATACACCAAAATAACATTATTACAATTTTTGTCTGTCTGTCTGTTTGTTTCGGCTAATCTCTGGAATGGCTGGACTAATTTTGACGGGACTTTTATTGGCAGGTAGCTGATGTAATAAGAAGTAACTTGGCTACTTTGATTTTAGGAAAATAAAGTTATATTACACGCGGACGAAGTCGCGGGTACAGCTAGTATAAACTATAAGTGCGCGAAATTCCATACTCCTCCGTCTGCGTAATTTTCGTAAAAAGCGGTACAAATATTTGCTTAGCTTTTAAATGGTGTGATGGCGGACAGTATGGACAGGGGTCTGCGTGAGGTGGTGGTGAGTGCTGGTGTGGTCGTAGTGTGGGTACCTGTGAGCGGGTGTCGTGGCAGCGTGATGGCGGACAGTATGGGGGTCTGCGTGAGGTCGTCGGGGGGGCGCCTCCGGCCGCGGCTTGCGGTTGAGTTCTCGGAGCTGGAGCGCGAGTCCGACGGCAGGTTCAAACACTACGGACAAAACTATTCGTTAGTATTCTATGCATGGGTGTAGCCACGGTGTCTCTGACCTGTAAGGTACCTATCCAAATCTAAAAATATACATTTTTAAGTACTGACTACGATACTTCCGTAAGAAAATATACTCCACAGTCGAGACACAAAAAATAATATACAGATACTGTGTGTATGAGGATAATGAATCGGTGTAAGAGGCGGGTATGGTTTGCTAATTACACAATATTTTAGGTTCCTGCTGAGCCTATGGCTACCCACGGCTATAATTCCATATATCCTTCGTGCAAGTGACAGGTCCATGGTGTGCCAGAGAAACGAAGTTCTTACTATTCTATGGATCCACCAAGCGGCGGCCGAATCCATGGTGTTAGAGACTAACTTCGTCATGCCCAGTTTCGTTCAATATATTTGAACACAAAGTAGTAGAAGGCGATCTTACCACCGTACCTTGGATTTGTTTGGTTTGTAATCGGTTTTCTGTTACTGGACTTAGAAATTTGAACTACAATTTGATATATATAGCACTAGCCCACTAGGCCACACTCTGTTATTTATTAATATTATTACATAGAAGGCTTTTGTAATCTCTCGCGATACAGATTCAAGCACGGGGTCCAATATATAATCAACTTTGTATGCTTCAATATAAATAAATAGGGGTGTATTGTAATAGGTTACAAAAATGTTCTTAATGTGCTATTATATTCTATTTACCTCAAAGATATTTTGTTCCTCGTCGTCTTCTTTGGGTGCTGGGTTGTGTTTTTTATATGCATGAAGTGATGGCCACGCCCCACCCAGACCTGTAAATAAATAAAAAAAAATTAATACCATAGACTATCACACAGGTTACATTATTCTATTATTATTTAAACATTGGCCAGTATTATGTCCTTATACTATTTTAATTAGTTTAAAATAGTAAAAATGTTTAAGTCAAGAATTATTTTTTTTGTTGCTTGTTTTTGTGACGTTTATTGATGATACAGATCTGTATATGTAGTATTTATTATATATGCTGTGCCCGCGGTTTCATCCGCATAAAATTTAGTCTGTGTTGTTGATATATAATCTACATTACTGTAAAGTTTCATCAAAATCCATTCTGTAGTTTTTGCTTGAAGGTGTAACAAACATCCATCCACACTTACAAACTTTCGCGTCTATAAAATTAATAAGATTGATTTCCACTTACCGTGTAAGAATCCAGTATACGGAAGAGGGGAGGCAAAAAGAAAGCACATTAGATAAATTAGTTCAGACATTATTAATATAATATATTATTATTATTAATATATTAATGTAATAGAATAGAAAATATATAATAATTATAATAATAATAATCTCAGGACAATTCACACAGCGCCATCTAGACCCAAGTTAAGCTAACTAAAACTTGTGTTATGGATATTAGTACTAGATAACTGATACATATACATAGAAAATATGCATAGAAAAGACCCAGACTGATACAAACAACCATACTCATGAATACAAATATATGTGCTGTGCAAGGAATCGAACCCGCGACCGTCGGAAGTAAGGGGGTGTGGTAAAGGCCGTCAAAGTAATAATTATCAAATAAACTGATATAAATACATTTGAAGAAAAATAAGTATTCAAAAGAGCAACACACAAGTTTCATGCTCATTCTTCTTGTGATGAGTCTGCGTTCCGAATGAGCGGTGGAATAAAAAAATATGACTATTCAAAAGTGCTTGTATTAAATTTATTTGAATAAAGATTTAACTACTTCTTTAAAGTTAAACTTAAATGCATTCATTCATATAGAACACTGGCTCTTACACACGACGTCGTCTATTATTTGAGATAAAAGAGAGCCTATGTCCTTTCTCGACCTACCTTCAAGTTATTCATTAAGAATGCTTTCCAGATCTAGACATATTTACTAGTCATTTGCTGGAGTTTCGTAGTATGGCAGTAAATTACTTATGCAAGTATGTAAAAATAAGATTATTATTTTTTCCTTGTGTAATTACTGTGTATGTATTAGTAACTAGTGTTTATAAGTGTGTGTATATGTATACAATCCTAAGTGGGCATAATGAGAAACTGTAAAGCTCGCTTAGTATGACGTAAATAAATAAGACGTTTTTAGTCAGTATATATTGGAAAATTATTAAAAAAAAAACAAAGATTCGCATTTATATTGGTATCGATTTGACAGCTTTGTTGGGCTGGCGGTTTAACACGCTACTATACTTCCAATGGTCGCTGGTTTGATTCCTAGCGCGGTACAAACATTTGTATTCATGAGTATGATTGTCAGTCTGGATGTTTTCTATGCATATGTATGTTAGTTACAAAAAAGTATCTATGTATTCATATTAGTTTTCTAGTACCCATAACACAAGCTCTGCTTAGCTTGGGACTAGATGGCGCTGTGCGTATTGCCTTAAAATATTATTATTTTACAAACATATAGAAGCCTGCTTTGCGGCCGAAATAGGTGAGAATAAGGCATTCATGGATAAAAATAGTCATAGAAAAAGAGGGGTTCATAACCAAAAATAATAATAATAAAAGCATTATCAAATATAAGAGAAAAAATTATATACTAAAACATTTTACTTTTATTAGTAAGAACGTGTTGATGAATACAGAAATAAAAAGGTTTTATTATTGTAGGATTTATATTGCTATAGAAGACTTACAAAGTCTATCTCTACTACCCTACCTACCCCTATCTTACCCTACCCTACCCTAGAACGTTTATTAATAAGTCTCAAAAAATATAGAATTTTTCATTTATCTTAAAATAAGAAGCAATACTGCATTTAATTTCGACTTTTTGACTTTGAAACCAAAAAAGAGGTATACTGTTAATAATATTATTGAACTGAATATTCCATATCTGTTAGCTCTTGTTATAAATACTTTGTACAAGTGTGAATCAAATCAAAATATCTTTGTGTGTCTATTACAGGCTCTTATGATATACTATACTAGCCGTTATCCGCGGATTCGTCCGCGTGGAATTTAACTATTTTATTAATTAAAATACATAATATTTTTAAAAATAAATAAGCCTACTAGTTACTCTTTATAACATTAGCTATATGTGAAAGTCACGTGAAAATCGTTTCAGAGATTAACGAGCACAAATAGACAGTTTTTTTTTTGTAATTAATAAAAATAAAGTTCTAGTGTCTATTTGTTCTCATTGCTTGTTGTAAGTACTGTATATACTTTCATATTAATTTAACGTAAATCTGTAAATTTGAAATTAAAAACGACACTTAATATTTTTGTGGTTTATAGACATACATTTTCTGTGATGGCTAGTTTAGTATTCTAGAAAGATCTAGTATTGAGTATGATAAACCGTAACACAACGATTATTTCCTTTAATATAAATCCACCTACAACGCCACAATGGTTATATCCTTTCGTGTAAATCCACCTTTACTCATCTACTTACCGTCCAGTAACTCCTCAATCGCCGTCCTGACGCCCTTGTCGAACGCCCGAGCATCAGCTGCCGTCTGGAATGTAAGCCCGAACCTCTTCTCGTCAGTCACCCAGTGGTGGAACGTTGGCATCACCTTGTTGTACTGAAAGTCCTTCTTTATGGTACATTCTAGAACCACCTGGAACATACAAATCATTCATTCATGTAGGACATTTTAGCCGCTTATGAACGTCAAATTTTTTGTAATAATATTTTCTTCCTATCGTCCAGTTCAGTATACTGATTGAGAAGAACTGACAAGAAACTCAACAGTTTTTTTTTAATAGCCAATTTATTTATATTGATTACTTATGTAGATATATCGTACATGATTATTATTTACATATATAATGCGAAAAAAGTACTGAAAGAATGATGAAAAGAGATGAAAGGTTGTGTGGAAGTAACATCACTTTTAAAGCTAGAAGATGGTAATTAATTTCCATACAAACTTTGTCATTAAAAGATAAATTAAGAAAGCTATTTTTTTCTTTTTCAAGAAAACTTTTTCTTTGGATTTTTATAATTAGCCTAAATAATTAATACGCTATTCTACATAGACGCAGCTTAATATAAAGTGTTACATCATATATTTGAATAAAACATCTGCTATCTCCCTTGTTCTTGTCATACTTGAAATTAAATATTTGAAAACATATTTTTAGTTATTCTATATTTAATTCAATTATTACTGTTCAATTTTGTCTGACTGTTAATATCAGACGTGCAGTCAGAGTTTCCTAAAATGGCGAACATATGGTAAAATCATGGCGAATACAATATCAATCAAATAAAATTAAAATATCTTTACTCGTGTAGATCTGTTACAGACTTATGATATGATACTAAAATACTAAGTATCTAAAACTTATATATCTTTTAGCGAAGAAATGTGGGATTTCTTGGCTTAAAAGATAGGTTAGTATATTTGAATCCAATGTAACAGGGGACGAGCAAACAACCGTCCTCTCTTATTCAATTCGTTTTAACGGTGTTACCATCGTCGGAGAGTAAAACAACAGCTATACTTTAAATTAAAGTATACAAACTCACCATATTGTCGCTGATCCGCTTGCCATGTATGAAGTATTCGTGCGTCGGTGCGTTTGTAGACGAAGATGTTGTGTCGCCGTTGCTATCACCACCACCTGGTGAACAATATACTTATCACCTATTTTGTTTATAATTGATGATTATGAAATGGTGCATTTGCCTGCGCTAATGGCTTACGATGGTGGGGTACACTCATCACCTTTTTTTTAGTAGATTTTAATGGAATGGTGCTCAGCGTACCCTAAAGGTATAGGCTGGCAGGGCACTAGTAAAGGATGATAAGACGATGCGTGGAGGTCAACCTGACATGGTACGTATTCATCGCCAATTGTACCAGTGTATTGCTCATCAGCAAGTCTACTTGGAGTCTAATATTCCCCCTGGAAGTCATAAAGGCTTGGTGATTTACTATGATGGGCTAACTGACCTGACCTCATGCTCATCTTGTCATCCTTCACTGGTGCCCCGCGGATGCACTAGTGCATGGCGCTGTCAATATTATTTATTAATAAATATCACTTAAATTACTATTATTATCTATTTCGTTATTCAGTAATTATGTAAAGTCTGGGGACTCTGGATCTTACTCTATGTCTATCTATGAGTGTGGTGTGGTGAGTGGTACTAACCGGAGGTACGGTGGTGGTGGCGGGCGCGCTTGCCGACCATGACATCTGTGAGTGCTCTCGTCGCGGCACATCACTCGCACCCATTTATCTATGAGTGTGGTGTGGTGAGTGGTACTAACCGGAGGTGGGGTGGTGGTTTAGGGAGCGCGTGCCGAACATGACATCTGTGAGTTTCCTCGTCTCGGCATATCACTTGCCCCCATCTATTTATCTATCTATGAGTGTGGTGTGATGGGTGGTACTGGTCGAAAGTGCGGTGGTGGTGGCGGGCGCGCTTGCCGACCATGACGGCTGCGAGTTCCTTCGTCTCGGCACATGACTCGTCCCCATCTATTTATCTATCTATGAGTGTGGTGTGGTGGGTGATACTGACCGGTGGTGGCGGGCGTGATCACCTACCATGACGCTTGCGAGTTCCCTCGTCTCGGCACATCACTCGCACCCATCTATCTATCTATCAGGGGTGGTACTGACCGGAGGTGCGGTGGTGGTGGCGGGCGCGCTTGCCGACCATGACGTCTGCGAGGCCGCCGCCCCCCAGCGCCACCCAGCCGCCCGTGCCCTCGTCGCGGCACATCACTTGCGCCCGCACGCGCACCAAGTAGGCACTGTTCATCCAAAACCATATATAAAGTCACAGTATATAAATATACTTACATTTTAAAGTTAAACTATCGGATCCCTCAACAAAGGCATAGTATAAAAATGTCGCGATACTGAAAGAGTTTGTGATTTGGAGAAAAAAAAGATGGGTTGGCAACACACAAGTGACGTGACACCCCTGGTGTTTTAGGCGTTCATAGGCTATGGTAACCATTTATCATCAGATGTTTGTTTGCCACCATCATAGTATAAAAAAAAAACATGATGGGAGACAAGCAAAACCACAGAACAGAGATGTTATTACTTTTTTTTATTATTCTTCTATCTGAATTAAGTTCTTCAAGTGATCTTGTTCTTCTTCAGATCTTGAATGAGTGACTGATAACAGACTGTCCACTCATCAGTAGGACCATGGAAGTCAGGAGTATTAAATTGAAATATTACCTAATATAGCTTCTTTTTAGGTGCTTAATTTCCTACTTAACTTCTCTGTCCTATGAGTATGAAAATATGGACTCTCTTACTCTTTCTCCCCATATCTATACTAGCTGACCTCCCAAAAATTGTTTTGCTATATAAATTAAAATCACTATTAAAACATGAGGTTGATGGTTGAAGGGCGAAAATGTAGATTTGGATATATTTTTAATGTCACATTATAAAAAAATTTTAGGGGTGGACAAGCTTTATAAATAGATAGTAGTCGATTCTCAGAGCTACTGAAACTGCATATAAAATTTCATAAAAATCTAGCCATTTCAGAGGAGTATAGTAACAAACATTATGACATGAAAATTTTATATATAAGATACACATATTTATACATACTTCTCTATACATATATTCTACTCGCATTTCATGAGTATGATTGTTTGTATCGGTCTGGTTGTTTTCTATGTATAATTAGTATGTATTTACAAAAAAAAAATATCTATGTATATGTATCAGTTATCTAGTATTCATAACACAAGCTTTAGCTAGCTTAACTTGGGTCTAGATGGCGCTGTGTTAATTATCCTGAGATTATTATTATACATTAATAGGAATTGAACATGTACACTTGTGGTCACTAGAAACCCATGTAAACTTGTTTTTACATAAAATTAGTCTAACAATGACTTCATTATATTTATGGGAACTTGTTCACAAGAACAGTGAACTTTTTCTGACAATTGTATGTACCTATATTTACGTCATATAAAATGACTAATAAAACATTATCTGATCTTTGTTTTCCTGATTCTAAATTAACATAATTAGTAATACAGGTATTAATATCTTATTAATATTATAAATGCGAAAGTTTGTAACTATGGATGGATGTTTGTAACTCTTTCATGTGAAAAATACTGAAAGGATTTTGATGAAACTTATGCATCAGAATAGGGCATAGGCTATATATTTTATCTAGTTATTGTATAACATTAGTAGAAACTCATGCATGTCATTAAATTTGTACCTATTAATAATTATTATTATACACCTACTACTAGTGGAAAATGCAGATATTATTATGCCTGGAAGAAAATGAATGAACATCACGACTGGCCTATAATCCAGTCAGTTGCACCAACAGCATAAGAGAAATCCTGAAAAATTGTCAGATCAGTGCTGCCTACTGGATCCAATTGTTTCCAAATAATGCCATCCCATTGAAACATAAACACAAAATTTTATCCAAATTGATCCAGCTATGTAGGAGTTTGATTACAAACACTCATACACAATTACATTTATTAGGATATTACAAATTTAATATTCCAATATAAACAATTAGATAAAAATTGTAATATCACAGGATTAAGACATTCCTATACATATCAAAATATACTTATAATAAAATATTAATTGGAAAGCATCATTATTTCATTCTTTTATCACCACATTAGGAAATCTATTGCTATAAGTTGAGATAAATCATTACGAATGACTAAGCTAATTAAAAAATATATATTACATAATTAATTTTTCCTAACTCATTTATAGAACATTTTGTAAGTAGTGATGTAATTTTTTATTTTTCTCTATAAATAGGTAATGTTCATTTATCACTTAGTTTGTATAATTAATTTAATGTATTAATTAATTAATAATAGGCTTATTTAGTTATATTTAATGAATTATAGCTTTTAAATATATTCATATTTCAAACATTATTAAATTATTCTATTTGTTTTTAAATACATGTTTTTCTAAATTTTAATGAATTTTTTTTTAATCGTCCTTACAACAAAAAGATCAATTGCAATTACCTAATTTAAGAAAAGAGGTTTATTTAACAGTTATTGTAATCGTAGGTGACAGATTAGTTCGACTTAGTTTTAAATTTCGAATTTCCATTTCTTCAACTATACTCTGTATCATTAGTACTAATTTATAACGAAAGCAATCTATAAAGTTAATAGGTAAGTACTATTTAATATGATCCATACATTTACAATTTCATGTAGTTACCTACAATAGTGTGAATGAACGGACACTCATTGATTATAGCTATATACTCAGGGACACTATGACCTAAGGGCGGCGGTCATAGTCTTCATGTTTTTAATCAGCTTTATCCAATTGTATATACCTCAGATATCCTCTGCTATGCTCAGATACAGTAATATAAGCCACAAAGAACACCTTAAATGACATTATACATTCCGTAAGACATGAAAAATGGCCGGGGTAAGGCCCTACCTATCCCGAGAAGGGCGAAGCACGAATCACAAAAACTGAGATACTGGCACACCACTTACTTTTCAGATGCCTCGGTCATGATTCGACACGTCGAATATCCTAATTTCTACTCGCCACTTCACAGATTTCACCATTTTTATGACATAAATACATCAGATTCACTTGCGAGTCGTTCTTATTTCGGCCCTTTGTTGGGCCTCAGTGCGCGTGCGTCAATAAAACAGCCCGGTTATTCAATGAACACACCGTGACTGCGCGACAGGTGGCGCAAATGTCGCACGGAATTGTATGAACTCAAAATGCGATTGGGTATTTCACCCTGGAATAAGATTTGACCAATCAGAGCTCGAGTATTTAAGAAAGACCAATGAAATTATTTTATTATAAAAATGAAATATTCGCGGGAATTTTAAAAAATATAGAAAGCCGGCACTAATTTTTTTATACTCGTAGCACAGAGCACAAAATTTAAAAGTTTTAATAAGTAAAATATTAATATTAATTAAATTCACAATTTAAAATTCACATAATACGTAATATTGAGTGCATAATTCGCGATATACTGTTTCCTTTATTCGGAATAGCGGTAAAGTAGGTCACGACGACCTCGAAGCGGTTCGAGGGTTCGACTGCTACTGAATGGAGTGAGCTTCGCAATGGAGCTCCATCCCCGTTCATGCACCGACTCATTGAAAAATATATAGGTCAAATCATTGCAGCGTGCCCTAGTTGCAGGTAGTTGCACCATTCATGGGCTGCGCCTGCATACGGACCCCCAGTTCTATAAATAGCTGCTCTATATTTGGGCAGGTCATTCGCAGCAAACGTAAATGCAAGCCTCCTGAAACTAGGTTACCTGATTTTCTTTGTTAATAGTCGGTGCAGTGACGTAGTTCGCTAGCCCATGACGTCAGCCATATTGCCTTAAAAGTAATATATATATATATATTTATACATATTTAATTGAATGGCCTTTGTTTTATTATTTTTTATTATAATATTAATCTAAAATATTTTCTATTAAGTTTGTTTTTCTAAAAAGTTTGAAAAGGGAGATAGTTGGCAATTGTAAAACTTTACACATATTACATGGTTATCTCCTAACCGATTTTGATGATTCTTTTTATTTAATTACTTTATTATATTGTTCAAATAGTCATATATAAGAGAAATATTTATTTGCGCTCTAATACTAATTTTATTATGATTGACATCATTATTGGGTGCCATACGAGACAAAGGCAGTGCATCAGAGCACGCGTTGTTTCCGTAGGCTAATTATTTCAATGTGCTTAGCATCAGGCTAGCCGTATCTGTCAGTTTTATAGTAGAAAATTTCTAATTAGGAACTGAAAATCTTATTGTAAAGACAAATTCTTATGTATCTACATAAGAATTTGTCTTTACAATAAGATTTTCAACATTTTACTCATTTTAGTAAACCGAATACAAATCTTTGTATTCGGTTTACTAAAATGAGTAAAATGTAATATAATAATGTAATATAAATATAATACGTTTTTTATTACATAGTGGGAATTTATTGTTTTTATTTGTGTTATATTATTTTCTTTGCGATATATTAATTTTTATTCGAACTGCATTCATAAAATAAAACTTTATATACACACATATATATGTATATATATTATATATTTGTGTATTTACGTATTATCTTTTCATGTCGTAATTTTATCAATAAATTAAATTTGAGTTCTATTGTTTATATATTGAACAATAACTCCTGTACAAAAGGTGAACTGACGTAAATATATATAAATTTATTTTAACCATTTCTGTCTGGATATAAATAATTTTTACTACAAATATATACTTTATAAAGTGCCCCACTTTTGTTGTATTTTTTGATGCATTTAACTTCTCGGCGTACAACTTTTTTTTATAGCACAGGGGACAAATAAGCATGCGGCTCACCCGATGGTTAATGTTTACCGCCGCCCATGGGGTGCTCATGACCAGGGTAATAGGATATGCTTTGTCTGTCTTTTAAAAAAATAAGCTCTTTTCTTGAAGGTTTCAATATCGTATTGGTTCGGAAATGCCATTGCTGGAAGGTAATTTTTAGTAGTGTTTTGGATTCATAGAAAAATTGCCATAGCCGTTTCGGATAAGTATAATAGTAACTAACACTGTAACACGACAATTTTATAAGTACCTACATATAATATATAGTTCGAGAATATCACTAAGGTTGTTTGAAAACAGGACCTACCATATACATGGAAAACACCCAGACCAATACAAACGATCATACTAATGAATACAAATGTTCGTCCGTGCGAGGAATCGAACCCGCGACCATCGTAATTAGAGTTTGTTAATAATAATAATGTGTGAACTGCGAGACAAAAGCACCCATTCAGGGAACTTCATACAAATTACGTAAAAAGACATTTCGGTTAATGTACAATATATCACCAGCCCACTGCTGGACATAGACTTCTCCCAAGGCACGCCTCTGGGCACAATCTTCGGTTCTTCTCTGCCAGTTATTACACGCAACCCTACGTATGTCGTCCCTCCACCTAACTTCGGGGCGTCATACACGTTCGCTACGCATGTTACGTTCGCTACGTTCTGCGACAGATATGACCAGCCCACTGCGACTTCAAGTTGCAAATCGAAGAGCTAGTCGGTGACTTTAGTTCTCTGGCGAATTTCTTCGTTTCGGATATAATACCTTAGAGAAACTTCAAACATAGCTCTTTCCATAGCTCGTGGAGCGACTTTGAGTTGGTGGACCAGTCGTATCGTCAGTGTCTACGTTTCGGGTCACATCATAACGGGTATGACGCCCTCACGCTGTACAATATAACCGAATATATTATATATATAAAGCTTGGGACTACATGGCGCTGTGTGAATTGTCCTGGGTTATTATTATTAATATGTAGATAGCACTAATATCATAATAATAATGAGTCTCTGGTGCTCTACTTACTTCCATACTTACATTCGTAAAAAGTACCACTGCTTGACTCCAAAAAAAATGTTATAATATGTTTCCAAAAACTTTTTACGATCCTTAGCAAATACATTCATGAAAACCCCATCAAAATTCGTCTGAGATTTACATGATATATCTACTCATTAAAATAATTGTAAAAAAATCATTACATTTACGTCTCTGTACATATTTTTTTAAACTATGTAACATATAGACAAAGTGCCGCTGGAGTTTTTTTATATAACTGGGATGGTAAACAAGCTTTCAGTCCATTTAGTGGTAATAAACGTCGTCTATATAGGTACATGAACCGTACTACTACATCAAAATACAGAATCACAAAAATATATTCAATATAAACATAAAAAAATCCTCCCCAATACGGCACTAAATGTAAAAGTATCTATCCTTTGACATTTTTTTTTTGTTTGCACCAATTATTACCCACTCAGTACCACATATCCCACTGTTTTAGGTTGACTGGAAGAGATCTCTTCTAGGTATAAGTCCACCTTTGCTCACATTGTCTCTAAATTATAATATCTTTTTATTATCTGTGCAATAAAGAATATAAATTAGTTGTTCTATTTTCTTATTTACTTTCTTTATTGTCAAGTATAATTCCTACCAATAAATCCATTCATTCAGCCATCGAAATTTGTCTTCGTTTTGAAAATGGTGCATTCGCCTGCACTAGCGGTTTACGCTGGTGGCGCAATGGTGAAGGATGATTTCTAGGTATATATCTTAACTAGCTTTCGCCCGCGGTTTCGCTCGCGTTAATTTATCCCCTTAGGGGTGGAATTTATCTAAATCCTTTCTTAGGGGATGCCTACGTCATAGTAGCTTTATGCATACAGTCTCAGCCCGATCGGTTTAAAATTGACAAAGTTTCATGCCCTTGGGGGTTGAATTAATCAAAATCCTTTCTTAGCGGATGCCTACGTCATAACATCTACCTGCATGCCAAATTTCAGCCCGATCCGTCCAGTGGTTTGGGTTGTGCGTTGAGAGATCACTATGTCAGTCACCTTTGAGTTATATATATTTAGATAATCCCATTGCAAGCAGTGTACCATGTCAGATTGACCTACACGAGATCCTACCGGAAACCATCATGTTAAAATCCTGGTGAATTTGCCATGATGGATAACTGACCTGACCTCATATTCATCACCCTCCACTACTATCCTCGCTAGCATATATATTAGCGCAGGCGAGTTCACCATTTTATTAAAAAAAACTATGGTCATGGTAATTGCAATCCACGTCAAAATGGGATAGGAGTTCTATTGGATTATAGGATGTATGACAGATATGAGAAGGTAATCATTAAAGTACATTATTTCCAACAATTTATTCAAAAATTCAACATTACAATAAGACACTATAAAAATATATTCGTAATTGCACTTTAAGACTTAAATATAGGAAATATCTCAAAATGAATACGCACAGTCCTATAAACTTATTTGACAAATGGAAGTAATATAAAAAACGTTACTTTTAAACTTTTGTGTTTAATATACATTATTTATATTATTAACTGGATCTTAACAGTTTGCTCGTGACCACGGCTAGCGTAACCTAGTCGAAACGTCGCGTCGAGAGAGTTAAATAGCTTTATTTGCCATAAAATTATTTGTTTTAATACCCGGTTAATAAAATAAATAATGTTGAAATTCTATTTAGTGGCAACATCATTTTCAGTAAGTTTGGTCACATATCACCCTTTGTCGACCCCCACACGTCCTTCAACTTGTAACGTGATTTATGAATAGTCTGTTTTTTTTTTTGCTGTTTACTACTCCATTGCTGTTGGCCGCAGCTGGCCTTTGCTTCACCAGACGATAGGAGGCGACTGCAGATGGCACTCGAAACCAAAGGAAGGACTCATGAGCGGCTTAAGACTAACTCCTGCCTGATAGATACGGCTTTAGTCTGAGGGCCCCTTATAGTCATATTTTTAATTAGACGAAGTCAACTGACGTTTACTGTGTTGTCAGTATTTGATGAAATAAAAATAGTGTTGTGACAAAGTGAATCATTGAAAAAACTCCTGAATTAATGGAATTGCCTCGATTGTCTAGTGAATAGTTAGTGTGCCGAACTGCCGATATCGGGTACGGGGTTTGAATTTTAGCCGTGCTTTATACATACCAACGAGTTTACGACGATTATGTTCCTATTGTATCTACCTATACTGAATACCGAGTATTTTAAACGTAAAGAAAAAATTGCGTGGAAACTTTTAAGACTGTCCTAATTACAATTCATAATGTAATTGAAACTATAGATGTACAAAATATAACAATATATAACATAATATAGTTAGGTAATAAAAATAAAAAACTGCGCTTATTACAAAATTTGTTTTTATTCATCATCAGATAAAAAAATCATTGTCGCTTTCAGTGACATTAATTATAAATCTGTCTAAAAATTGATAATAATTTATCTTTGAAACAGTGTTTCGCTCCACGTTTCTCCGGAGACTTAAATTGTTCACTTTGTATTATTTTAATACATTGTAGACTGAGGTCACACCAATTCCCAAAATGTCAGCTGTTTTCGAAATACATTTGTTTTTTTGGGAGCCTCAATAGGTAATAGTGAAGCAGCTTTCTCAAATACGTATTTGTAGACGTTTTGTATCATAAGTTTTTCGGTAACGTCTTTCTTGGAGACAAGCTTTGGCTTGACGTGCTTGGTTGAGGATCCATATTGTTTGTATGAAACAATATAGTAAATATACAATATACCCAACAATTACCACAAACACAACATGAGGAAAAACTTAATAAAACAGCGTGAGCGCAAAAAAAAACATTGGTGCTCTCAGACCAGAGGTTAGAAGCCGAATTACGAACAAAATGGCGACAGACGCTCGCGACGTTGATTTGTGTTGGCACTAGTAGCCGCGCGCTTTGTAATAAGCCGTCAAAAAACTGATTGTAGTTACTAGTAACTTATATCAGAGCACTTTTATACAATTTTCTTTTGTAGTTTGTAATGATTAACTATTCACACTCATTGTTCATTCATCTAACTGAGAACTGAACGCATCACTATTACTTTAAATATGGCAACATTATTTTACAATGTGACATTAGCTACTGTCAGCTAGCTTCGTCTAATTAAAAATACGACTATAGGGGTTCGAACCTCGGCTCAGGCCGTCGTAATTTCGATCCCCGTTTGAATTGAACTGGGGATCAATCGGATATGTAAAACTGTACATGTTACTTTTTTAATTACTTTTCTCTGTACTTCTGGGTTTGAAATAGTAACTGAATCCATATATTTTTCTTTTAACTTATAGAGATAATACATAGTACTAAGTGAAACAAAAGTCGATTTTTTAAATATTATTCACTCGTTTCGAGAATTTATTCGATTTATTTATGTGAATGTGAATGGCATGTTTAATGGCAGCATCGCCTATATACATACTTTGTGTATCGGTGCATCACGACATCACGTCATCACGTGACGACCATGATAAGTCTCGTGCATTGCCATTCCAAAGGACTAAGGGGCTATTATGACTCTTAGCTATGTGAGATTTCAGAAACAGATACTGTTTTGAGTTAAAGTCTCACAAAGCTAGTTGCTTGGTAGCAGAAAAAATCAATAATAATTATATGAACATATATGACTTTCTTTGTCTAACCCAATGAGATAAAAAGAGATGAGTATATTGATATATTCTTTATCTAAAAAAACTATTAACACAAAAAAATTTACGTTCAAACCTAATGCCTAAAATGTCCTACATCAATAAATGATTTTTGACTTGATTTGATAGCTGCTTTTTGGTTTTAAATACAAAATCACGTTTAAATATAATTGTGGTTATAACTGCCTCAAATTCAAGGCAGATGATAAGAAAAAATTGTTGCTGTCAGCAGTAAGGCCGGCTTATTGTAACTACACATGTATTCTTTAATATATTGTTTATGCCTTTTGCAGTATGTTACAAATATATTCTATATATCTATCTAAAAGTTGTAGGCTAGAAAAACAAATATTCTCAAAGTGGGCGGCGATTAAAATGAGGTTGAGAAACCATAATCTATACTAATGAAGTGATCTTGTTTTTTTTTTTGCTTTCTTTACAAATTCTCATACTCTGCTGGTCCACTTTTGGTAACTTGCGCGATAGCACCTTTGGTTATATCTTCACTCTGATGGTTTATAGAATTTATTAAACACTGCAACAAAAAAAAATATATTAATAAAAATACTCGTCACGACTGTAATTTAATATGAACGGCCTCGGTGGTCTAGTGGTTTAGCACACCGCCTTACATCGGATGGTCGCGGGTTAGATTAACATGGCATTAACATATTCATAAGTATGATTGTCTGTATCGGTCTGAGTGCTTTCATAGTATAATATGTATGTATTTACGAAAACAATCTATGTATTTGTATCAGTTATCTAGTACCCATTACACAAGCTTTAGCTAGCTTAACTACATAGCGCTGTGTGAATTGTCCTGAGATTATTATTATTATTAGGGTTGACAGACATGTCCATCGACGTGAATTCATCCCCACATACTGGACCATCGGTTTCAGAGGAGCTTCCTCCCGCGTACATTTAGGTTGTTTAATGAACTAACTACCTGCCGAGTTTTTATCGTGAGACTACAGCATGGGGTTTTTCAATGGTATATTAAGATTTTTTAAGGTTCGGCAACGCGCATGTGACACCCCTGGTGTTATAGGCATCCATAGGTTAGGGTAACCAATTACCATCAGATGGGCCGTATGCTTATTTGCATAGTATAAAATACTACATAATATAAAAGTGGCTGGCCTTTTAAGGCAGGAATAAGCTCTTTTCTTTAAGGTTTCAATATGATATCGGTTGGAAGGTTACCATAGTCTATGACTAACTACTTTATGTGCCTCACAATCACATTGTTGAATAAATGTGATTGTGACTCATATAAAGTAGTTAGTTATGGTAACCGTTTATCATCAGATGAGCCGTATGCTTGTTTTCCATATAAATTATATAAAAATTACTTACTATATGGTCCAACCCATCAGCGATAATCCTGTCTTGAGAGTAGACGAGATTCTGCTTCGTCGCTTGAACAGCCACTGGACTTAAGCTGGCTATAGTCTCAGCTACATTCAGCACTTCGCTTATAGCGCTGAAAAAGTAATTATAAGAATATCAAATATTTGAAAGAAGAAAAGAAAGAAAGAAAATATATATTAACAACCATTGCATTCACATCTTATAAACAACTAAACATTTATACATACTAGCTTTTGCCCAAATTTAAAAAAAATAGGAGACGCCTACGTCATAGTAGCTTTATGCATGCAAAGTCTCAGCCCGATCGGTTTAAAATCAACAAAGTTTCATATAAACTTTCATCCCTTATTTTATCCCTTGGGGGGTAGAATTAATCAAAATCCTTTCTTCGGATGCCTACGTCATAACATCTACGTGCATGCCAAGTTTCAGTCCGATCCGTCCAGTGGTTTGGGCTGTACGTTGATAGCTTACTACGTCAGTCACCGTCAGTCAGTTATATATATATATTTATATAGATAGAAGATAGATATTCGACTCGATGATCCAACGGTTTAGCACACCGTTTTAATTCCGATGATCGCGGGTTTCCGATAGTTTTATCGAAAAATGAAACAAAAGTTTTTGGGGTACCACCTTTAACACTTAGGGGTATAAAATTAGTTATACACCTATGCTCGAACCTACTGAACATACGTATAAAATTTCATTAAAATCGTCAAGCCGTTTAGGAGGAGTATAAACACGAAACTTGTGTCACGAGAATTTTATATATTAGACGTATGTATGTGTATATGCATACATATATAGATGTAGTTTATATATTAAAACTATGACTATTCAAATGTGATTAATTTTAAATTTATTTGAATGTATAATTTTCTCTTTTATTCTATTGTAATATTTTCATATACCAAGTCAATAAGAATACTAGCTTTAACTCACGTCTCCTTATCGGGGAACACTTTGCTGACCAGACCAATCTGTAACGCCTCTTGAGCTGACACCTTCCTAGCTGTATAGCACAGTTCCCTGGCTACAGACGCGCTGCCAATCACCTGGTAATAACATCATTATGGTTAAAAAGTATAATTTGTTGCTGTCAAGTAGTTTACAGGGTGTTTATAGTCAATTGTTTTAACACGTTAAAGTACATTATTTCCAACAATTTATTCAAAAATTCAACATTACGAAAATAGATTCATAATTGCACTTTACCGCTTAAAATTACAATAGTATGTGGCCACAGACGCGCTGCCAATCACCTGGTAATGACGCCGTTATGGTTAAAAAGTATAATTCCTTGCTGTCAAGTAGTTTACAGGTACTGTTTATAGTCAATTGTTTTAACATGTTAAAGTACCAACAATTTATTGAAAAATTCAACATTACAATAACACATTATAAAAATAGATTCGTAATTACACTTTATCACTTAAAAATATTTTGTGACCACAGAAGCGCAGCCAATCACCTGGTAATGACGTCATTTAGATGTACTTCAAAGAAGCTTGCTAAATATGGCTTAATTTTAATTTTATAAATTACTATATATTTCACGTTTTGTCGTATAAATTTCTACTAATATCGCTATTAAAAATAGGGATTTGTAAGGGAGAAAATTTAGGGTTGTATGTATTTTTTGATGACACATTATAAATAAAAAAATAAAAAGAATTGTCAAAAAAAATGTTAAGAGTGTACAACTCTTATCACTTAGGGGTATGAAAAATAAATAGTAGCCGATACTCAGACGTAATGAATATGCATATAAAATTTCATCAAAATCTGTTAAGCTATTTCGGAGGAGTACGGTAACTAACATTGTGACATGAGAATGTTATACGAGTACTAGCTCCGGCTTCGCACGGGTGCACATGTATTATATATATAAACCTTCCTCTTGAATCACACTATCTATTAAAAACTGCTTCAAAATTCGTTGCGTAGTTTTAAAGATTTAAGCATACATAGGGACGGAGAGACAGCGACAGACTTTTTTATAGTATGTAATGATACTAGCTGACCCGTGCAACTTCGTCTGCATGACACTTACTTGATATTTATCGTTATATTTCGCCCAATTTACGTAATATCTTTTTAAATTATAGCCTATATGTTATTCTGATATGTAAGCTATATTACTATGAAGTTTCTGATCGCTTCTCGATACTGTGAATTTGAAGATCGCTTCTGAATTGTCTTTATCACAATAAAGAGTATTTCTTGCTGCGAGGGAATTTATATGTACTTGTTGTAACATTTGGAAATGATAGATTTGAATGCTTACTTTAGGTAATCGTTGCAACACACCCACATCACCAGCTAGACCAATCTGCACCTCTTTCACCTGAAACCAGGCATCTTCAGTGCAGTACCTGAAATATACGAATAAATAAAAAATGAAGTGTCGGTCTGTAATTTCACATTAACAGTTTTTCGCTAAAGGCATACGAGATTGCATTAAAAAAAGTTTTGTTTGTTTGTTTTTTCTTGCTAATTTTGTCGGCAACTCGCACGTGACACCCTTGGTATTTCAGGCGTCCATAGACTACGGTAACCATTTACCATCAGATGGGCCGTATGCCTGTTTGCCGCCATAGTGGTATAAAAAATAAATCTCTGAAACGGGACATATTTGACGGGACTGTGAGATAGCTATTGTTATAAGGAATAACTTAGGTTACTTTTATATTACAAATTTTAGTTATTTTAATATATGTAATATTTAATACATTTTCATTATAAAATATTTTAATTCCATATATATAAAAGTTGAAAAAGGTGAGACTGAGGTACCTACCTCAGTCTACCTCGGTGATCATATAGTTCTGGCTATTGGAATATTGTCTGAAATCTATACTAATATTATAAAGCTGAAGAGTTGATTTGTTTGTTTGTTTGAATGCGCTAATCTCAGGAACTACTGGTTCGAATTGAAAAGTTCTTTTTGAGTTGGTTAGTCTTATTTGTTGAGGAAGGCTTTAAGCTATATAACATTACAAATTACCAAAAATATAACTTATTAGACTTGAAAAGTAGGAGCAGCAATGAAAAATATTGCAAAATTTGATAAATGAAACAAGCAAATTTATTATCGAAGTTGCGCACGAATAATCGAGCAACATGTATATTGAGATATAATAATGATTATCATATCTTCATCCCCTTACCTGACATCAGCTGCAGTAATCAGATTGACGCCAGCACCGATAACAATGAACTGGTGTACTACATTTATCTGGTTTCGTAACTAACATAATAATTATTTATGTAATCTAGTACATAAAATCATTTATCTTTTTTTTTGTATATAATAAATAATAAATTCGTGAAACAGTAACAGGAGATAACAAAACCACATTTAGTACTGGTCTACATTTGTTAAAATTTAGTAGTAAATCCATAAGTCATATATATAATGTAACTGTTTGTTGACCTAAATAAATTAAAAAAAAAAAAAAAAAAACATAAAATTATATCTTTACATGTAATAAAGTCGTGAAATAGTAATAGAAGAAACTGTCTGTATATCCGTTTGTGTGTTAAGACCATCTATAAATTAGTACCACAAAGGGTTGAAGCAGTGACAAAGTTTGTGTAAAAACACGAAATCTAGAACCCTTATCAACCCTTCTCGGAGAGGTTTTACATTTTTGTGTCACATCTCAACTTTAGTATTAAACATGAATTTATAACTATTATATTGACGGCTTCGGTGGTCTGGAGTCTGGTGGTCGCGGGTTCGATTCCTCGCACGTTACAAACATTTGTATTCATAAGTATGATTGTTTGTATCGGTCTAGTTTTCTATGTATATTTTATACGTATTTACAAAAAATATTTCAATATTTTTATCAGTGGGAAATAGTTCAAGAATTATATCGTAAGCACTATAGGGGAGTACGGGGGAAGCTTTGCTTATTTTGGATGACATGGGGGTGGGGGAGTCTAGATGATGATTACGTCATCGTTATTTTCTTTTTTACACAAATGGCAACCCTCACATTGTCTTTGCTAAAAAAACATGTTTACGTAAGCATGGGGGACGGGGTAAGAGCTTTGCTTACATTTGCTCACAACGGGGGAGGGGGGTAAATAATTGTGATAAATCTGCTTACGTAATACTATTTCAATATTTTTATCAGTAGTCCAGTACCCATAATACAAGCTCTGCTTACCGTGGGACTAGATGACGTTGTGTTAATGGTCCAGGGTGATATATTTATTTATAATAAAACTAGCTACCCACCGCGGCTTCGCACGGGTGTACATGTATTATACATATAAACCTTCCTCTTGAATCACTATCTACTAAAAAACCACTTCAAAATCCGTTGCGTAGTTATAAAGATTTAAGCATACACAGGGACGGACAGACAGCGACAGTGACTTTGTTTTATACTATTTAATGATGTACTTATATCATTTTATTTAATTCCGCTATCATTAGCACATGTGAGGCCAAATATTAAGTGCGGAAACTTGACCATATATGTATATAATATATTTTTTAAATATAGTGAATTTTAAATATTAAAATCTTAAATAAATAAAGTTGACATACCTGGAATCTCTTGATCAGCTGATAGAACACCCTCGCTTTACGCGCCGCGTCCTCAATCTCGTTGGCTTTGGTGAAACTGCTCAGGAGACTTTTGAGATCAATACCTGGAATTTAACAAACAATCGATTAAATTTTATTATATGACGCGTTTATACTTGATGCTACAATAACGGCAAGTGACAGTCAGTGGCGTAGCTACCTAGGGTCTAGGCGCGGCAGTGCCTCGGGGCCCTCAAGCTCAGGAGACCCTCGGACCTTACCTTACCATAAAATGTCGATCGAACTGAACTTTTGAAATATTCTCCCATTTTCAAAATAAATATTACAGGTTGCATCTCGGCTCTAATCATGGCAACTCAGTTGAGAGAAATTCGAAAGTTATACCTTCGGAATTCGCCGAAATTCTTTCTGCTGCTCCACTGCTGAGCAGTGGGGCACCATTTTTTTATTTGCCCCAGGGCCCTTGGTTACCTAACTACGCCACTGGTGACAGTGTATACATCAGGGATAAGAATTGATGTACGTACGTATGACATGACATGATGTAGGTAGCACTCACAGCCTACCATCAGGTAAGTCGTTAGGTTGATAACCAGTCCAATTTATACATCTATATGTATATAAATTGTATAAAATTAAATGTATATAAATATTGGAGTGTCTGTTTATAATATTGAAATAACCGTTTTTTACTACATGCAAATGATTATAAATACGGCACATACACCAAAATAATATTTATTAAAATTTTTGTCTGTCTGTCTGTCTGTTTTTTCCGACTAATCTCTGAAATGGCTGGACCTATTTTGACGGGACATTTTTTGGCAGGTGGCTGATGTAATAAGGAGTAATTTAGGTAACTTTTATTTTCGAAAAAAAAATTAAATTCCACGCAGACGAAGTCGCGGGTACAGCTAATTATTTAATAAAAAACTACAGGATAGTTGTGAAAACCTATTTTTTTATTGAGGGTTTTTGGATGTTGTTAAGTGTTAAGACCTGTAGCACTGCGACCTATATAGATCTACTGTGTTCGCCCTTTTTTTCAAAGTTCGCTACCTAGGCCCGTCAGGGACAAGAATTGAAGGATATTCTTAGGAGTGATGGTTCTTATCTCCTCAGGATAGAGTGTATATTTTCCAAAGTAGATGTTTCGTTTATGCATGACTGGGCACCCACATAGGATGTGTAGTGTTGCCACTGGTTAACTTAATCTTATTGACCAAAGGAGTGAAAATATACCAACCAGCTGTAAAATGCTTCCCTCGACCGGACAGCACGACCACTCTGCATTCAGGATTCTCATGCAAAGACTTGAAGCATGTACCCAAATCCCTGAAATTATACATATTATTTTTTAAATTTACTTAAATACTTACATAATTATACAAAGAAAACACCCAGACTGATACAAACAATGAATACAAAGGTTTATAGCGTCCGAGGAATCGAACCCGCGATCAATAGAAGTAAAGCGGTGTGCTAAATGGCTAAACCATCGAGGCTATCATAAAATTGTGTGTAAACTAATGCGGGTTTATTAATTGAATACGAAATATGCAATCAGTACATTGCAAATGTATGAAGTGTTTTTTTTAAATTACTATTAATTAGACGAAGTTTATTAGGGCTCGTTCAAGTATTCCGTAAGCAGATTTATTACAATTATTTACCCCCCCCCCCAACCCCCTTGTCAGCACAAGTAAAACTCTTATCGCCTCCACCCTGCCTTGTAAATATTTTTCAATTAATGTATAGTTTTTTAAAGCAAAGACAATGTGAGGGTTGGTATTTTTGTAAAATGGTAAATACCTATCGACAACATAATCATCATCTAGACTCCCCCACACCCATGTCACCTAAAATAAGCAAAGCAAAGACCCCCCCGACCCCTACAGTGCTTACGTAATACTTTAATGGCCCCTTACTCGTACGTACTTACTTCCAGAGTGCCTCATTGAAAGTGTTGAGTTTGTCTGGTCGATTCAATTCCACATGGAAGACATTTTTTTTTGGCACAGACACCGCCAGTGTTTCATACTGAGTGACATCGCTCTTAGCTGAGTATGCTCTTAACAAAGTGCCTGAAAACAGAAATTCAGAAGGATTGAATTTTTTTAATAGAAATGAAAATAAACTGACAAATTTATGGAGAGTAATAACAGTCATCCATCCCAAAACGAATAGTACATTTTAAATGGATGATAATGGAATGGTGCACCAGTGGAGGATGATAAGATGAGCATGAGGTCAGGTCAGTTAGCTCATAGTGACAAATTCATGAGGGTTTCCAGAGGTAACCGCATGGAAGTCAACCTGGTTTGGTACATTGCTAACTTCACATTACTAATAAACTTTTTTCCCCTACAGTACACATTTATAACTTGAATATCTTTGGAGTTTAGCAGTTTAATATACCTCCTCACTTCTGATGGTCACAGGTTCAATTCCTTACATAATACAAACATTTGAATTCATGAATGTGATCATCTGTATTAGTCTGGGTGTTTTCTATGTATATTATGTATGTATTTAAGTATTGGTATCAGTTGTTTAGTACCCATAACACAAGCCCTGCTTAGCTTGGATCTAGGTATCGCTGTGTGAAATGTTCTAAAATATTATTTTTATCTAGTATTTTATTATTTGAACCTGCAACTTCATAACTATTCCTTATGATATTTGGGGAAATAGTTTTTAACTTTTTAGTTTATATGTATTTGTGAATTAAAAGACATTTTCACATAAGAATACGATATTATACGACATATGGTTCTGTATATACTGTAATTAATAGCGAAAAGATAGTGTCATGCAAATTTTAAATAACCCAGTACTTAATATTTTTTTTAAAGGTTCTTTAAACAAACATTGGATATATTTACCATTATAATATTATTCTTGAAGAATATTATTATGGTAAATATTTTGTTCATATAATGTTTGTCCAATAATATTCTATATCATAATAATAACTCAGGATATATAAATGTAAAACTTACTTGAAATTTTGTTTCGTTGATTAAAAATAATAGATTTAACTAACGATGCCATTATTGGATGTGAAGATAATTAGAAAAAGTTTAAAAGCATGAACATAAGTGCAATAATAATACGAATTGAACTTTGGAACAAGACGATGCGAACGACTCGAGATTGGAGTTCAAATTTTTATTTTGTTCAGTTCTGTGAACATTATATGTCACTTACGGTAACTGACAGTTGAGCAGTGCAGTGTTGTCGGATCATTGTTGCTTCTCCTAAATTGCGCCTAAAATTCTCCTATAACGCAAGTTTTGAAGAATTATATGTTATTACCAGCATTTTTAATGCCAGTTTATTTTTGTTTAAATCTAAATATTCAATGCAGAAATATCCATATCTGCAAGTAAACTATTTATTTTTAAGTTCGTAAATTCTATTCTACCGTTCCTACAATTAAATGTACCCTTATATCCTGAAAATTCCTTGAATATGCCGTTTCTTTTAAATTTAAATTTATATTTTCCTAGTTCTAAAGTATCATTTAATATACAAAGAACACGTGATACTTTTTATAAAATAGTTTTGCACATAATGCAAATTTTTATAGTAGGTACTTTTTGTGTCAATAGCTATAAATAGATAATATACGCGAAAATTTATACGTTCTAAAAATCATAATTTGGTTATTAAAATATTTAATAGTCCTAGGTTCTACTTAAAGTTTACGTAAATTACTACACTTTGTAATGAATAGTAACTATAAACATAATAAGTGCTTTCATTTTTAAAGTAGTTTTATGTCACAAAATTTCTATATTACCTATGAAGAAGTTCATTGAAATCCTATCATATTTGAAATCCCATTCCCATTATTACTCTATTCACCCTTTTTTAGGGAGAAAATTTTTAAGATGGTAACCCAGGTAGTCTGCGATTTGACTTTGACATTTAGGAAAACAATCACCCCAACAGGTTTTACAAGTTGCCATTAATAAAAAGGAAGATCGAGACCAACCAAGATCTTTTTTCATTAATAGCAACTGATTGTACTGCTGCAATTAATAAAAAAATAGGTTTCACAATAAGTATATTAAAAATAGATGTTAATAATTTATTACATTTATTTATTATTTAATATTTTCTACAATTCATTATTTCTTATATTAGAAAAATAAAAAGGTAGTCTGCCTTCTTTCTATGCATGTTCTATGAAGCTGCTTTATTGCTATCCAAAAACTGAAACATAATGTTATGTATTAGTAAAGTGTACCTAATGTCTATTTTTCTAGTTATATATTTCGGTGTCTGTCTTTTACCGAGGTATACTATGTACTGTATCTACAAAGTCGCCTGTGTGGGTACTTTTGCTACCTATTTTTGCCGGCAAGCTTCCTGCCGTCTTCATAATCTGTTTCGGTTAGACATTTGACGAAAGAGTTATAGGTACGAGGCCTCATATTCTTAGGAATGGTAACACATTAACTTATGTTCATGTTATCATTCTCCACTGGTGTCCCGTCAGCGTAAAGTGCTAGCACAGGCGGGAGCACCATTGCATTTGCATGATTGTACAAAAAAAAAAATGCTGACGGTTGCCAATTTCAGTTATGTAAACTGTCAACTTATTTTTCTTTCCAGATCTACGGTGGTACTTACTAGCTGTAGTCAGGTTTGAACCAAATGTTGCCAGGTTCGTCAGCGAGTCTTCCAGCTTATCAATGGCGTGCTGACCATGAGATTCAGCCAAAGATGCTAGCGAGGATGAGCCATTGCATGATCTATAAACATAATTTGACAGCCTCGGTGGTCTAGTGGTTTATCACACCGCTTTACTATCCGCGTAATCCGGTCGCGGGTTCGATTCCTCGCACGATACAAACATTTGTATTCATGAGTATGATTGTTAGTAACGGTCTGCGTGTTTCTATGTATATGTATTTATTTAAAAAAAAATGCGTTCATGTATTTATATCAGTTGTCTAGTTCCCATAACACAATCTCTGCTTAGCTTAGGACTAGATGGCGCTGTGTGAATTGTCCTGAGCTATTATTATTAAAAAAAAAATAAGGAGTCGTTAAGGCATTAATTATGTTAATCCGATATTCAGCAATATCGACAGTCAGTTGTAATTTATTCACGATGATGTCTACCGTGCTTACAAAGGCGGGAATGACATTGTTAGTAAAATAACTTTCTTAGCTAGTACTACATAAATGTAGTATGAATTTAACCCAATAAAAGGACAATCAAAATACTACTTACGCAGTACCCAAAATATTAAGCAAGCCGAGGAAAGCACGACCTTCGATGATGTTCGTACACTGAAAACAAAATTACCTAAAATGGAATATTATTAAAACTCTAGGCAATATATCTAGATAGAAAAAGAAAGGGGCAGGGAGCTAGAATTCGTTTTTGATGCTAATGGAATGGTGATAACACTGACCTGTAAACGTTGTTGTGTACCAATTAATGAATTAAATTCAAATAAAAACCATGTAAGAATAAGACTCTTTTGGTCGATTCTGATTGTCCTTTTTTTAGATAGATAATAATTTTTATTTGTATCTTTGTACACTCATTTATTTAAGCTTTATTGTCTATATATTACAATTTTAATTAATATTTTAAGTTAGGACTAATTTATTTTCTTTATATATGGTCCCATGTGGGTAAAAGTCTCCTCCAACTTGTTCCATTTTCCTCTCTTCAGAGCCACGCTCATCCAGTGTTCCTCGGCCACTTCTTTAATGTCATCAGACCATCTTTTTCTCTGTCGACCTACTCGCCTTTTCCCTGTCGGTCCCAACCACTTTGTTAGTTGGTGAGTCCACCTTTTGTCTTTGTACCTAGCTACGTGACCTGCCCATTTCCATTCTGTACACTCATATAGCTTATTATGACATTACATAACAAGTATAACAATCCAGTAAGTGTAAACCTGCACGTGTGTGCTACTACAAAAATGTTACATAGAAAACTGGTACATAGCTCAGTGTGGATCTTATCTCTATAACTGCCTACCTTCTCAACAGAAGTAGTTACAATTCTACTTCTGTTGAGAAGAACGGGTAAGAAACCCAACTGGTATATAGGGATAGTTAACGAAATTGTGGTACGTGATTCAGACGTCAGAAATAGTTGTAAAGAAATGGTATTTGGAGTTGAGATTGTTAACTAACAGCTGGAACCTGGGAAATGGAAGACTAGAGCTGCATTTTTGTAATTTGGAAGTGAAAATTTGTAACTAGGATTTCAGGATTTCAGACCTTATAAATCTGATAATATAATCTGATTATAAAATCTGACCGTAAAGAAATCTGAAAAAGGACCTGGATTTCCAGGAATCTTGGATACGGAAGCCAAAAGCTGCAAAACTAGGAACTGTAATCTTGTATCTAGGATCTGGGAATTGAGTGGCCAGAATTAAAATCTGGGATCTGGAATACTTAGAATCTGGATATTGAAGCAGATAGCTGCAGGCTAGCAACTAGTAACTGAATACTTGTAACTAGGATCTGGGAATTGAATAGAAAATCATTTATTCAAATTAACTTAATTTAAGCACTTTTGAATAGTCATAACAATCTTATTTTTCTACCGCTCGTTTGGAAAGCTGTCTCATCACAAGAAGAACGAGCAAGAATACAAGTTTCTTGCTCGTTTCTTGCTCTTGCTGTTGCTTTTTTAAATTATCCTTGTAAGTTTACATTTTACAAGTCGAAACGTGTGAATGCAAACTACTAACCAGCACAAATTTATTTGGGTCAAATATAAATATGCAATAAGATTAAATCAGTCGTAGTGATAAGAGCAGACCAGTCTCTACAAGCAGCACTCGTTCACGAGTAGGACGGATGAGCCAGCCATCACTGCGCTCGACCATATTTTAGGGGCCTGAACTAAAATCTAAAAACTCGTAGAGACACACAATATTCCACTTACTTAGTCCTGCATATATATAAATGTATTTAATAATTAACAATTAACAATAGGTAAGTTTGACTAAACAACCTTTCCACTGAGGAACAAAAATGTACTCACGAATAATAATAGCAGAGGTAGGAAAATAACGCCTCCCGTTAAAAGGCCAGCACCATTTTGAGAATAAGAAGCCATTTTATATATTTTTTTTTATAACTGTATTTCAACCATAGACTATGTAGGTTAGCGTTTTACTGTAGAATCGACTATGTTACTGTTTTATACATTTCGCCTATAATAGAACAAAACGTATTCATCTCATAGTAGTGATGGGACGTGAAGAAAATGTAATATGCTGATTTATTTGCGCAGAGATGGAGTATAACGCTACAGGAGATAGAGGTACGAGAGTTCTGGTCTTTATTACATTGACATGGTTATCCTTGTACAAGTGTGTACGAGATTTCTGTATATCAATACGGAAATTGGTCAAAATATGTACGAGGTTAGAGCGCTTCATTATGAGGATATGGTCATTATCGTACAAGTCTGTACGAGACTTTGAATTCCTGAAATCGGTCATATGTTGAAATTGAAGGAAGAAATTTTGTGTCAATTTATATTTCTAACTTTCCAATAAAGAAACATCGATGTCAATCTGAAATATTTATTCTAGAGATTTAATATTAATAATTATAATAATACCTCTGAATATACTATCTGCCCCCCCCCCCCCCCCCCCCCCCATACCAACATGCTGCCCACCTTCATGAAGGAGGACCACTGGCAGAAGGGGGTGGTGTATCGGCGCTACCGTGGCAGATTCTCCGATTTGCCGTCCTCAGTTCCGTGAATACAGAGATAAAATAAATTTATTTATATTATTATTAGATATGTATTATTCATCCAATTATGTTTCAAGCTATCCTGGAACCGATTGAAAATACACCCAAAATTTCATCGTAATCGGTCCAGCCGTTTTGAAGGAGTTAAGTGACAATTATTATATACGAGTAGAATCCTTACTAATATCACAGATAACGTAATATTACATACTAATATTATAAATTTTAAAGTAGGGGTGTTTGTTACGCTTTCACGCAAAAATTACTGAACCGATCTACATGAAATTTTGTAAACATGTTCTTGGAGGTATTAGAATGAACATACGATACTTTTTATTAAAAAAATGTCATATAATGCATTCAATGAGAGCGAAGCCGCGGGTAAAAGCAAAATCTATAAATCAGGGTAGGTATTGCATATTAATTATGTATAGTGTTACAATGTAATGTAATAATAATGACAATTACAATGGTAGTTACATCGTGTGCCACGAGCTGACCATCAACAAAGCCGATACTAATTGAAAACAAACACACAATAAAGTATTCTATGCTCTTTATAATAAAGAACCTTGTTCTGGTTATTATTAATAGTTAAGTATTAATACTCACTTGATATTAAGTTAACTCAAGGTGTTAAGTCATATGCATCTACATTGGTTTATTAAAGTTTTAATAAATAAATATTTCGCCCAATTTACAAATGAAACTTTACAGAAATATAGATTATACATCATAATATCATAGGCTACAAATGATCACGCGGGTGAAACCGAGGGCTCACCTAGATATATATACATATACAATTATTACCGATTGATAGAAGAAAAAAAAATACTACAACAATTTACTAAAAAAAAACATTATAGTTTTTTTTTTCTTACGTAGGATAATAAAATGCACCTGCCTGCGCTAATGGTTTACGCTGGCGGGGTACCAGTGGAGAATGATAGCATCAACATGAGGTCAGGTCAGTTGGCGTGGTAAATTCGCCAGGAATTTATCACGATGGTTTCCAGGGGAAATCAACCAACCAGGGGACGTCAACCTGACATGGTACATTGCTAGCAATGGGGTCATCAGTCCTCATTACTAACATTACCCTCACCACATCGTTGTAGTGTGCCAGTAACGAAGTAACCACAGTAGATATCATCGGAAATAAATTACAACTGGCTGTCGATATTGCTGAATATCGGACTGACATAATGCCTTAAATACATTTTATATTATAATACGTTTATAGATCATGCAACGGTCATCGGTCTCATCCTCGCTAGCATCTTTGGCTGAATCTCATGATCAGCACGCCATAAACAAGCTGGAAGACTCGCTGACGAACCTGGCAACGTTTGGTTCAAACCTGACTACAGCACTATAGATTTGGAATGACATATAAGTTGACAGTTCACATTATAGAAAATGGCAATCTACTTTTTTTTATGGACGATCATGCAATGGTGTTCTCGCCTGCACTAGCGGGTTACTAGTGGAGGATGATAGCATCAACATGAGGTCAGGTCAGTTGTTGTTATCGTGGTTAAGTCACCAGGAATTATCACGATGGTTTCCAGGGGAAATCAACCAACCAGGGGAGGTCAACCTGATATGGTACATTGCTAGCAATGGGGTCATCAGTCCTCATTACTAACATTCCCCTCACCACATCGTTTTTTTTTTGGATGATAATGGAATGGTGCTCCCGCCTGCGCTAACGGTTTACGCTGGCGGGGCACCAGTGGAGGATGATAAGATGAGCATGAGGTCAGGTCAGTTAGCCCATCGTGATAAATTCACCAGGAATTTAACACGATGGTTTCCAGGGGGAACCGCGTGGAGGTCGACCTGACAAGGTACATTGCTAGCAATGGGGTTATCAATCCACATTACTAGCAATACCCTTCCCCCCTCACCACATCGTTGTAGTGTGCCAGTAACGAAGTAACCACAGTAGATATCATCGTAAATAAATTACAACTGGCTGTCGATATTGCTGAATATCGGACTAACATAATTAATGCCTTATTGCCACGTGTAGCGTATTGTTCTGTTTCGTATTTAATACAGCAAACCCTTCCGTATCACTTGCTTAACCTATTTCCTACTTTATGCCAATGGAATAGGGTAGAAATATCGATGACGATCGGTAATACTGACCATGCATGTTTTAACACAGATGTAGAGTGTATGGAAACTGTAGGAAACTTTTTTTTTTTTTTGGATGATAATGGACTGGTGCACCCACCTGCTCTAACGGTTTACGGGGGCACCAGTGGAGGATGATAGGATGAACATGAAGTCAGATCAGTTAGCCCAACGTGACAAATTCGCCGGGAATGTATCACGATGGTTTCCAGGGTAAACCGCGTGGAGGTCGATCTGACATGGTACATTGCTAGTAATGGGATCATTAGTCCACATTACTAACAATTCCCTTCCCCGGAAACTGTTTGTTAGTGTACTTGTGAGTACATTTAACTTTGAAACTTGTTTCCTGACCCAGAAAGGGCATTTCAAAATACTAAAATTAGGGGGTTGGAGGGGTAGCTGGCCTTTCCTGTCTCTCCATGGTGGTAAATACATAGTTCACGTTTCTAGTGAGTAAGGTAAGTAAGGTAGTTAGGTGGACTTTACCTACCTACTCTACAAGAGTGGTGGTTTATGTATTGAGCCTAAAAAGCTTTAATATAATAATAATGAAAAGAGCAACACGCAAGTTTCATGCTTGTTGTTCTTGTAATGAGAAACTTTTTCGAATGAGCGGTAGATTAAAAAAAATAATGACTATTCAAAAGTGCTACAATGTATGTTTATTTAAAACAGAATTTTCTATTCTATTATAATAATCCAGGATTGTATTATGGATACTAAAGAACTGATATAAATACCTAAATATTTTTTTTATATATCTACTTAAAAAAACACCCAGACTGATATAGTCATACTCATTAACATAGCTTCCCTCCAATCGATCCGTCGTCCAATTCAAACAGGGATTGGAACTGATTGGACTGAGCCGGGGTTCGGACCCCTAGCGGTGCCCTCAGACTAAAGTCGAGTCGTACCCGTCAGGCGGGAGTTGGCCTTCAGCCGCTCCATGAGTCCATCCGCGGCTTTATAGTGCCACCTGCATTCGTCCCCTATCGTCCGGTGAAGCTGTAAAGGTCAACTACGGTCAACAGCATTAGAGTAGTCCGAAAAAAAAACTCATTAGTTTATACTAATGAGTTTTTATTTATAATACCTGAGATTTATTTTCTGGGAAAACAGACGTGGTGGTATGTTTTTTTTAACAATAGTATAAATAAAACTGTTCCAGTGAATTAGTATCGCCGGTTTTCGCCCAATTGCGCCCACCAATATATTCGGTTGTCCGCCAACGTAGATAACAATTGAGAAATTCTTGGGCGACCACAGACGCAAAACTTGTTATATCTATGGCGGATATCTATGGGAATCAATGTATTATTTATACTAATTAATTAAAAAATAATTATCTGCTAATTTTTTAGTATAGCAACACTGTTTTGACTGATATTTATTGATTGTCGGCATAATTGCAAAACAAACATTTGTATTAATGTTTATGACGACCTGTAGAGACTTGTGTATTATTTATTCACAAAAAATGAATTATTGCCTAGTTTTATAGTGTAGCAATACAGTTAACTGTCATATATCGATTTTCGGTTTGATTGAAAACAAACATTTATAACGGCTGTATGGGCTTAGATTCCTTGCCTTTCCTATAAGAATAAATAAAACAAAAAAAAAACATTTGTATTGATAATTATGTCTGTTTAATTTCTGTATTAATAATAATTAAACCCTTGACAATATCATTGTACAGTCAATTTTTTTAATTTCTAAATTAGAAGTAAGTCTTAAAGTAAGCAGAGTTTGTGTCATGGTTTGTGTCATGGTACACGAGAAGTTGGCTTTCAGCCGCTCCATAAGTCTTTCCTCGTCTCCAGAATGCCATCTCTACTAGCCCTCTACTATCCGGTGAATCTGTAAAGGCCAGCTGCGGCCAAAAGCGTTAGAGTAGTAAAAAAAAACTACTGATATCACGTCAGCACATTACGCATTATGTCTCACCATGAGGTCAGGTCAGTTAGCCTATCGTGGCAAATTCATTGGGAATATACCATGGTGGTCTCCAGAGAGCGCTACCTGACTTCTCCTTCCTATTATGTAGTAATAATTTTACTGGAATATGGAGGAATCAGTAAGTTTATTAATCAACCCGATTCCTTCCACATTCTCGATGCATCCTTCATCAGAATAATACAACCTAACAAGACATTAATTGTTGCATTCGTAACCCTAAAATACAGTTCCCACCCTCTTTTTCAAATCTAATTTGGAAAACTTCGACACGGCAATCATAGACCAAATGGTTCTGATTACGAACCTAGTTCATCCCCTTTGTGCGGGAGGGTTGTGGGGAGGATGCGCGAGGGTGGGACAAGAGTGCGGCGAAGGGGCGCGGGGGCGGGGCACTACCCTCAGTATCCTTTTGACGTTCAGTGGTGACGGTTGTGTCGTGTTTTCTTTTGTGTCACCAGCGTTCCGTGATTCGTCACCGGTGAGTGATTTTTAATTATACCTTTCCATTATTATTATTTATAACACAAATTTATTAATAATACATGTATAAAAGATTATCGATTTTATTATATTAATTAAAATAGATCTCTACTTTGTAGAGAATCTCTTACTCTATTTTTTCGTGCAGATACTGTAAAAAGGATCTGCGAATTCTTAAATGTAAATATGTATCAGTAATTGTGGAATTAAAGACAATATATTTATTTAATATTGATACGTCTATTTTATAAAAAAATAGCAATTTAGAGCACTAATGTGCAGTATCAAATAGGCGGGCTATTTGATAGATTTTCAGCATATGCTGTAACAATTATTTTCGGCGCAAGTATACAATACATGAAAAAAAAATTATTTATTGCAATAATACAGAATTATACATATTAACAGTTCATGACGACATTTAGAGGATATTATAGCATTAAAATCTGTAAATATAACTGTGCAAGGGAGACAGTTCCAAGGATTACAGAAATGCAGCGTAATCTAAATATATCTTTCGCTTCTCGCAGCGTTTAATGTTTTTTTTATGGCAATGGTGGCATATTAAAGGATGATTTAGCACACCGTTTTATTTTCGATGTTCGCGGGTTCGATTCCTCGTACGGTATAAACTTTTGTATTCGTGATTATGACGTATCGGTCTGGGTGTTTTCTATGTATAATAATATAAATAAATGCGAGAATTGTGCGTATAGGCTACTGTACTATATATTAGTATACTAACACTGTAAATAAGAAAGGGTGTCTGTTTGTATATTGTAACTTTTTACGACTGAACGGACCTTAATAAGATTTACTGTACTTTTGATTTTATATATATTTTATACAGTTCAATAATATAACAATTACTAGTATGTAATTAAAGTTTATATAATGACTATTCACTTCTAATAATCTCAGAATGAGACAGCCAGAGATAGAAGATGCACAAACTCATTTGAAAAGAATGAGAGCTGACTCTCTTGTCAATTCTTCGTAGCTCGAAATCACTTCGAACTAACTGTAGATTTGACTTATCATAAGAGTTTGTAATAGACATGAATAAAGATATATAGATTTTTTTGCTGTTTTTTAATCCATTGAGATTTCCGCCTATTACAATCGGAAATTCCGTAAGGTTTTGCAACAATTTGCCAGAGTTTGTCCTAGAACTGACTGAAAAGGACACAATTGTCATATGAAACACTTTCTTTGTAAAAATTCTGTCTGTCTGTGGCGCTTTTATGCCAAAATTACTGAACCTTTTTAATGCGATAAAAGGGTTGTTATGGGTCGAAAGGGGATGAAATGAACCATGAACCTAGATATGGAAGTATCGTCATATTCAAAGCTAGAATATTAAAACATTTTTTTTACTGTTGATTCAGTATAAATAAATACCTGACATTCAAAGTTTGTAAAAATTTTACCCTTAAGGGCTTAAAATAAAATACCCCTATTTAATTTTACGCCCTTAAGGATGAAATTTTTACAAACTTTGAATGTCATATTTATTTATATTATTTATGTTTTATAAAAGTTTGTATGGAAATTCGGCATTTTTGAATTTAGAACGATGAAACTTATTTCTTTGACTTTTTTTTAAGTGAGATTATTAAATATTATTTGTTTATTTAAGTATGTGTTTTGTAAATTTAATTTGTCAAAAGTAGATGAAATTTTTATCAGTCAAATACTAGCAAAAATCTTATTAAAGCATTTATACGAATGTCTAATTTGTAAAATAATTAACAATGCTATCCAATGTCACTATTCCAAGCGGACGAAGTCGCGGGCACAGCTAGTCTCATATTTGTAATCGGTTGAAAATGTGTATAGGCACAGTTCGTTTATGGCCATTGTTATGTTGTGGTCGGTCTACGGTGTGGGGGTTTGTTGATGCTTTCTCTTGTGGGTCTTATTTACATTACATATCTACCTATCCGTGAAAACTGGGTTTATTTTGTTTCAAATGACGCTAGCCAATTCTATGTATTTCTGTTAATTTCCTTTTTACTAGTAATTCGAGTGGTTGAAATTCGACCGTAATTAATGTAAATTATAAGTTTGAATATTTTAAAGGATATTAGTTATAAGATAGTTAGTTTTAGTAATAAGACACGATGGGACTACTATTATCATATTATGATAAAAGTCCCTAAGTAAGTGTAAGAATAAAAAATATATTTTAGCTTCTAAAGTCAAAAACAATGCTTCTTCGACAGCTTAGCGGTTTAGTACACCGCTTTACGTCCTATAGTCTTACAGTCGATTCCTCGCAGGGTACAAACATTTGTATTCATGAGTATGATCGTTTGTATCGGTCAGGCTGTTGTTCTATGTATATAATGTATGTATTTACAAAAAAATCTAAGTACTAGCTGACCCGCGCAACTACGTTGCGTATTTTTCCCCCACATTCTGCAATATTTTTTATTGCAGCTCTGCTCCTATTAAAGCCTTCCGTAACAAATGGACTATCCAACACAAAAATATTTTTTCTATTAGAAGCAGTTTCTGAGATTAACGCGTTCAAATAAACAAAGAAACTCTTCAACTTTATAATATTATTATATAGTATAGATTTATATCAGTTGTCTAATACATACACTATTTGTCTCAACTCTCTTTAACCTATATGTTGACCTATACTTAACTTCAGGAAAAGTAAAAGTTAATCTGTCTATATATTTTTTACATATAGATTTTTTTGACCAAATTTTTTGGTATGTTACTTCAAACATTCCTTCATATAAACACTGTTTTGAAAATTACAAGTGAACAAATATAATTACCTATAGAATGATTAGTACCGTATTAACTGATATAGGTATTGCAGCCAGTTTTCCTTAGTGTTATGACTTCCTGTTTTTCGTGAGTAGTGCGGCAAGATGGCGGCGTATGAACAGTGACTCGGTCAAAAAAGACATTATACGAGCAGCCTGCGAACCGAACGGACGAGTTATTAGCGTGTGTCTAATATTAGGTTGATTTTTTTTATTTATTTATTTATTTCAGGTAACTAATTTATATGTAAATTAATATTACATAATCAATATATTAGAGTAGGTGTGGTCACGGCACTGATGACGGCAATCTGCCAAGGTAGCGCTGACCACACCCTTCAGCCAGTAGTCCTCCTTCATGAAGCATGTTGATGGGGACCCGGGCCACAAACGCCTTTCAATGTTTTTTTTACATTCTAACAACTCCACAATCAAAAACTATATATTTTTTGTATTAATCTACCTAGAAATCAATTCACGGGCGTGTCGGGGCACATTCTTAAATTTAAAGTGGCCATTATCAAATTAGAGCGCACACTTGCTTTGATTTTGAGAATTTAATTATCCTAATTTCTACTACATAATTAAATTTCAATTAAAGAAATTCGAACATTTACAAAGGAGTTCTTTGTTCTAATTAAAAACCATTTCAAATTTCTATAATTTACAGCGCCAATTCAGGTTTGTTCATATTCCGTAGCTCTAAATACGATACTGGAATCTTTTTTCATATCAATTTAATAGTAAACTCTTTTATATAGTTATTTTTAGATACTACCGAATTTATTTCTGTAAGTAAATGCAACAGAGCTTGTCTATACTAAGATTATAAAGAGAAGTTTGTACGGGGTTGTACAATTTTAGAAATTCTTTCACTGTTAGAAAGGTTCATTATCCCCGAGTGCAGTAGGCTATATAATATCACGGTACAACTAATAGGAGCGGAGCAGATATGAAATTTGTGGCAAAATATATTCATTTTAGGTGCTTAGAAAACGGTTATGCAAAAAAAAATATGACGGGATTGTTCTCCTTTAAAAGTTCTAAAAACAACATATGCATCTATCTTTTGAGGTTACCTCACTTTTTTATGATAATCAAATTTCTTCTAAAATATTGCATAATTTGCTAAGGTGTTTTTATAAACATGATGTCAATCCTTATCGAAATAAATACATTATTTATTATAAGCACTTAATGTTGAACAAATTTGTCCTTTACATCATTTGATTTCTACAAACACTTTCGGTATTTTAGATTTATTAAAAGAACTTAAGTATTGGACTTGTGCGAAGCCGGGGCGGTTTGCTAGTACTAAAATGTATTTGTATCTAGCAACCAAACGGGATAATCATTATCTCGCAGTATCAGTTTCTACTTGCACGAGAGGTTTCCTTACTTTGGTACACTAAAAATTGTTTATACCAAAAATTAATAGTTTGCTATAAAAAAATATTTTTTTTTGTATTTTTTTATACCACATAGGTGGCAAACAAGCATACGGCCCATCTGATGGTAAACGGTAACGTAGCCTATGGACGCCTGATACACCAGGGGTATCACGTGCGCCTTGCCGAACCTTTAGAAACGATAATATACTCTTCTTGAAAAACCCCATGCTGTAGTCTCGTGAGAAAACCTCGGCAGGTAGTTCATTCCACAATCTACATAAGTGTACGCGGAAGGAAGCTTCTCTGAAACAACACTGTCCGAGACCACTTAGGTTCCAGCGTATGGGGAAGAATCCCCTATCGATGGCGAGCGGTGCGATGGTAAAAGGTAGCAGTGGGCATCATGTCAAACAATTCTTCAGAACACAGTCCGTTCTGTTCTATATTCGGTAGAACACACAAAGCGATTTTTGAACAAATATATTCTATTCTATAAAAATCAAATGGAATGTTTAAGAATCAGTAGAATATAAAATAGAAAATCATTTATTCAAATATACATTGAAGCACTTAGAACAGTTATAACATTTTTTTTAATCTACCGCTCATTCGGAAAGCTGTCTCATCACAAGAAGAATGAGCAAGAAACTTAAGAAACTTGTGTGTTGCTCTTTTAAATAATTTTATTCTTACTTTACAATTTAAGTTTAAGTGTGTGAATACAAACTACTAATTCAGTACTAGCACTAATTCAATTAAATAATCAAATAGAAAAAATATTGAATATACAACAACTGGTTAAAGAATTAATAAGAGGAAAT